TTTATGGGCCACGCGGGTACAGATATGCGGGCTTCCGTACATAGAGGCTGCATATTTTAATATTCCAAATAGCAAGATCCTGATTAGAAGGACGTCAACATACCCCTAATTTTGGGAAACTCCCATATCGGTGGGGCAGTGGATTGGGCTCACGGAGCCCTGACTCTTCGGAATGTAGGAGCAGTAGCTTAGGGACTGAAGGATTATGCACTGAAAAGAGATGGCAAGTCCTTGAAAGTTCTACCCCGGGCTGTCATCGCGCCACCTAATTATGGATTTATGCCCGTCGGGATTGAACTTGCCGTGAAACCTTGCATGACTGTAGAATTGGAGGTTTCCGATGAGGCGTGTGAGGCGGCAGGACGCTGTGTTGTGGTATGCTTGATGCCCACAATTATTATTGCGCCACGCCCTTTAGCGCAAAACACCCTCGTCTGCAAGAGCAAATTGCAAGCATTCATACGCCAATACGGACACCAACAAAGCTGCTGTTGACCATGGTGGTAGCTAGCACTGGTGCTGGTGCTAGGTACTCGTAGTGTAGCTGTAGGAATGGCATTGGTGGTAATGGTGGCAACAGTAGTACTCAGCCACCTCGAGGGGCGGATTTCGATGGTTGCCCAACAGCGACCGGAAGCAAGCAAAGTTCGCCTTGCAACGATGTCTCGGACATGGCTGAAGGTCTGAAGGCTTCGAAAAGTTGGGCTTTGGGACATGGGATGTAGTGTGGAATAGGTAGTTCTCGGCGTTGCTGTTGATGCGTCATCATGAACCTTGCTTCGGCTGATTGTTTCGTACATACTGCTACCTTGGTTAATCAGTCACGTCTTGTCATCAAGACCTGAGTGAAAATTACATGGAGTACGAACGAAAAGTCCCAACAGTACTGAACCTGACACCATCATGCCGCTAAAACAGAAGACAATAGCTGACCTGGACACTTGAAACCCCACATCTATTCCTCGTGGCTCGGGCTTCGTCAGTCAGTTTTCGTTTCAATCTAAACTTGGCTACTGCCAACGACGATGATTTGGGTATGCTGCTACTGCTGCAACCAGGTACCGCTGCTATTGATCATCACCATGGTCGTACTACAAGCGCACTAACAACAACTAGATCAACACCGCCCCGAACAGATACACAACCTACGGTGATGATCACAATGCTCTTACTTGAAGGAGCACACCAAGCAGGTATCGCAGTTAGAGGCCAAAATTCAGATATAGCCTGAGCCCCTAAACGCCAAGCCCGAGAAAGAACTGCAATTGAATACGATCTCGGCCTGCCGTTTCCGGAGCTCTTCCTCCTGGCAACTCGGCCGGTCTATTACTGCAAGTTGGGGTAAGCGCGGTTACAGAGGCCCGGGCCCGAGCAATGAATACTGCTTTCCTGGAGGCTCTCTATGCTTCCTTTTTTGACAGGCCCCTGTAGTAAACCTTACAGGAGCCCGGACATGAATCCCTTAACGGAGCCCATAAAGGCGCCCTTTCAGGATCCCTTAAAGCTTTGAAAGGATCCTTTGAAGGAGCTTTTAAAGGAGCCCTCATGGGCTTCCCCCCTCCCGCCGAGGCCTCGGAGGACCCCTGTGACTGCTCTGAAGCCACCTCTGCGCCGTGGTTTGCCAAGTCCTTGATGTCAGGATTGAGGCAACTTATCACGTGTATATATATGTATATATATACATATACATATACATATATATATACATATACATACACATACACATACACATACACATACACATATACATATACATATACATATACACACACATATATATATACATATACATATACATATACATATACATATACATACACATACACATACACATACACATACACATATACATACACATATACATATACATATACATATACACACACATATACATATACAGATACATATACATATACATATTCATATACATATACATATACGTATATGTATGAATGTCAATGTACATATGTATATGTACATACATATACATATACAGGTGTGTATACACATATGTACATATACATATATATATATATATATATATATATGTATATATACACATATATATATATATATGTATATATATATATACATATATGTGTACACAAATGTATATAACCCTCAGTAAGCTTGAATTCCAATCTTGAGGGCTCCTGATTATACTAGAGCTCAGCAGACTCCCGGAACCCGTAGGGTTGTAGGACTTGGGATTGCGGTTTGAGAGTTTCAGGCGTTAGTCCGGGAATTGGCTATCAGACATTATCACCCTGGGTTGATACTGATGAATATTGACGACCAGTCTGGGCAACGTGTCTCCAAGCGTGGAGATATCATTCATAAGTGTCTAGGCAAGGAAGGAGAACCCTTCCTCCAAAGCAACACTTCAGCTCAAGAAACGACAAGATCCCTCAACCCGAAACCCGGCAGCCCTCAATCCTACAACACCCTTAGGAGCCCTGAGTGATCAGCAATCCTACTACGAGCCCTTAACGTTTACCTCAGCAGATCATGTGCCCAGCGACAGGAGCCTGTGAAGCCGGGCTCCCAAGCCGCAAGGAAGGCAGCGAAGCGAGTGGGCTCTGGGAGTCCATGAAGAGCACTCTGGAGGTCCTACTCTGAGAAGCCGCATAAAGGTGAGCAGAATGAGGATTTTTTTGGGGGTTTCTACAACAAGCGGTTTAGGGATGTGAGTTTAGGATGTTCTTAGGGTTCATGGTTTCATGGTTGAGGGTTTCTGGGTTGTTGGGTTCGGGGTTTGTGGTATACCGGGTAGATGGTTGAAGTTTTCGAAGAAAAAACGCACGAAGAAGGACAACTACTTGACGCATGCAGCTGCATATTGTATCTGCCTTTGTCCACTTGTTGACCGATGCCGAGAATCACAAGCAACATATCCGTTGCTGCATGCTTCAGCTCGCCAACAGACCCTCCGGACATGGTAGCCAATGACCAGAAAGGTGTATCAAATAGCGAGAACGAAGCAACCACTTAGAGGCCTTGAGTGTGGGTTGCTTTACGGTTGCAGCCTTCGCAGCAGAGAAAATATGCCTTTCGTCATACAGGGCTTCGAGTCCCTTGGCGGATGGTAGAGCGCTGAGAACGTGAAGCAAGCACTGTGGATCGACAAGAGATCGATCCGCTATGTCAGTACTAGCGCAAGCATCAATGTCGAGGAAAAGTGGGTTCAAGATTTTCCGTACGATCCATCGACGGTACTGCTCCAGGCCTTCAGGACCGCCCCGTTGATGCTCCCGGTGGCACGTTTCACCTGCCGACGACAACATTTGGTGATCCTAGAGCTTTCCGGTCGAGGAGTCGCTGATACTCGAAGTCAAGGCTACACAAATTTCTGCGTGCACAAGGGCTTTAGTAAAGGATCCAAGGGTATTCCGGTATGGCCAAGATCACTGAGTGAGGGGGCTTTGGAGATCAGATGGGTTGTTTATCTGGCAACTTCTTTCTGATGAAGAGCCGTCAGGGAAACGGGGAGCTGATGGCCTTAATGCTTCATCTGAGCACCGATACTCACAACCACCCAACAAATCTGGCCCATTCCGCCCAAAGCCTGACCCTACAGCACAAACCCTGAACCCACATATACAATACATTAGATATAGTGTAACAATATCTCATGTGTAATATATGATGATGAACTTGTACATATCTATATATCAGACCTGACATATAGTATATAATCCCCAAGCCCCGAAAGCTCTTAGCCCCAGGATTCTTGCAAAAGGACCTTGGTGGAACCTTTGGGGATATAGACCCTCTCAACAAGGATACCTTTTAAGAGAGCCAGAAGTGGGGTTTTTTGAAGGGTCCCCCGGCTAAAAAGGGTAGCTTTCTAAGTTAGGGAGGTCCCCAAAAAAGCACGGCACCCTTTATAGAGAACTGCCAATGTGCTTTTGGGCCCGTAAACTAAGAACAGAACGGGCGATTTCCTCTCCAGGGGTGCGTAGAGTCCGTGCATGTTGAATTTATCATTATTACTGCAATTCCCCCCCCTGACAGAATCTAACAAATGCAGACCCAGCAAGGGCTGAACCGGCTCAAAGGGTATGTGTGCTGAGAACGGTTCTCCCAGGCCGTAAATAAACCCTGCAAAGGCCATCAAAGAAGGCGCTCATCGGAACGACCCTGAGTTCCTACACTGCAGGGCTCCTCGAGAAACTGAACTCCCCCAAGCGGACTCAAGAGAGGGCTCTTCTTGGATTTCCGTTCACACACTCAGTTCAAAGAGACGACATTCCTGGTTTCGAAATTCGTCGGCGTGAAACTCTTAAAACTCTTACCACTCTTGATACTACATGCATGTAGGCGCCCATCTCAGGGCTCTTCCATCAAGTGAGAAGGCTTGCCTTGCACCTCTTGAGTTCTACGAAAAGCCACCGCATCTCCGCTGTCGTCTAATGTCCAGAACCTAATGACATTGTATAAGGCAGATCTGAACCCAAAACCCTGGAGGTACCAATACTCTCCTCGTGTTTTGGGAAAGCGTCGCAGCACGTGGCTGGGTCTAACCAAGACTTCGTATGCAGTTAGGTTCACCATCATGTTGGCAGTGGTTCTGCCCACGAGCATTCCGACGAAGTAAACCCAAACTGCATCAAACGCAGCCGTAATCAAAACCAGAACTGGTAGCAACACTGCTCCAAGGGACCCACTTGTCAGGGAGCCTCGAGAGATATCTGGAAACACCACGTCGACGGCATAAAGAAAGACTGTGTAGTAGCAGTAAAGGAGGGCGGCAAGAAGCACGGTGATGAAGGAAACGAACGATCTTTGATTGCCCAGACCAACGCTGTTGTCGATCCAAGGGCAATGATGGTCCATTCGATCGACACATCGACCTTGTTCCTTGCAGTGGTGGGAGCGAAATTTTCGTACCGTCCGGCAGATGACACAGACCTTCTTGAAGTCGCCTTTGTTCACCAAAGTCAGATACTCGACAGCTCCTTGTGCCAGCAAGTGCTCCACTCTTGCGTGGCCCAGGTTTTCTACTGCAGCACGTTCGCGCTCGTGTAGAGCCACAGTTGCTCTGTCCAATTGGGCCTGCCGGGACCGCCATCAATGAAATTTGAAGCAATCAGGGGCTGCGATTCGCCCAAGGCTGGGCTTCGAGGGTCACGGAGGCCACAGCCTTCCTCGAGTCGTTTCTGTGCTTCTTGGAGAAGGTGGCGCTGATAGTTGTACTTGTTCTGCTCTAGCTCCAGCTTCGTGACCTCCGGGATCTCGCCGTCGCATGTCCAGGTCAGATGCTGAAGAACGCTGTCACAGTGAGCCATCTGCGACTCGATCGGTTGCTCAACATCAAACGCCCTTGCGGGATCGTCGCCCAGCAGGTGATTCTGGGAGTGTATGGTCCGTGGCTGAAGCCAGCCAGGATCCGAGAACAGGCACTGCACCCAAAGCAGCAGAGACAACCCCATGAGCATCGACCATATTAGGACGGCTTCAGGATTCCTAGCTGCAATTCCCGGCGCTATGACGAAAGCAAAGATGATGATGTTGTAGACAGCGCAGCACACGAAGAGACCTGCGTAGTTAGTCTGGAAAATGTGTGGCCGCCCGAACAGAAAGTTAAAGACCTGGCACTTGCGGAAGGCAAGCACCAAGGGCCTCTTCCCCTGCCGCATTGCGAGTTCAATCGGAGTTTTGCCAGCGTTATCTGGGACATCTAAGAGGTGCACAGCCCCGACTTCCATGAGCATTTCCACGACCAGTGTGTGTCCTTGCAAAACTGCCTGGTGAAGTGCTGTCATGCCTTCTCCATCTCGGTGAACGATGCTGGCAGATCGCGAGAGCAACCACTGGACTGTCTTCTTGTTGCCTTTGTGGCAGGCCCATTGCAGGGCAGTTCTGCCGCAGTCGTCCTGCTCTTCCAAGCCGACACCTTTGAGGTACAGCCACTCCATCACGGGGCAATTGTCCGACTGCGCGGACAAAAGGAAGGCAGTGAAGCCATCATGGTTGCGTATCGAGAGAAGAGCTCGGTTGGCCTTCGTCATCGCATCCAAAGCTATGACATTGCTAGAGTTCGCAGCCCAGTGTATCGCACATTCTCCGGAATTGTTGGGAATGTCTGGTCGTGCCCCTCGTTCCAGTAACGGGGTGAGCAGTGAATCTAGCCTGAACCACACAGCATGGTGGAGAGCTGTGTTGCCATCAGAGTCCTGATACTCTGCTTTGTGGCCCTGCGACAGCATCTGGACGACTGCCTGAGGATTCTGTTGTGCGGCAGCCTCTGCAATGGATGCATACCTGCAAAAGATGGTACAATACAGTAACTGCCCCTCCCACCCCCCACCCCCCCCAATAACGTACCCCAACAATAACCGTAAATCCGAAACAATCGGATCCTTATCATGACGACTCCAAGTACAGTAAGGGAGCCAGTTTCCTAAACTCCCCACCTGCCACCGCTGCTGCAGGGCATGGGATTCGGAACATAGCTCTTCATGCTCACAGGCAGCCGGCAACTAAGAGCCCTGAAGTTTCTGTTTAGAGCCTATGCTAGGCGGCTCAATGCTTGACAAACTTTTTCGAGCTCCGAGGCTGCGAGCTTCGATTTCGGAGGTTCGGAGACACACTAATCCGAGGTTCGGGCACACACTAATCCGACAATTCCTAACATCGATCCCACAAACACAGCTGGACCCAACTTCAACGAATGTATCGATTCTGTTGCCGGTGCGATGTCTGAGTGAACGGATGTGAAGGGATTAGGCTTGCAGCCATGGATAATATCGTGAACCAGTGCAACCTCTTGCCCGAGAGCCTGGTCTGTCGGCTTGTCCTTGGCAGTGTCCTGCGAGGTCTTTGCAGTGGAAACACCAAAACTATCGAAGCCAACACACACAGATTTCTGAGTAAGATTTACAATATGCATGTGATCTCACCAGCGAGAATCATCAGAGTATGTCCTTGGCTCCTTGGGGACAGCCATGATGAAGCATGCAGCGGTCGTGATGATGATGATGATGATGGTCATGACGATGATGGCGGTGGTGGTGGTGGTGGTGGTGGTGGTGGTGGTGGTGGTGGTGGTGGTGGTGGTGGTGGTGGTGGTGGTGGTGGTGGTGGCGGCGGGGGTGGTGGTGGTGGTGGTGGTGGCGGTGGCGGTGGCGGTGGGGGTGGTGGTGGCGGTGGTGGTGGTGGTGGTGGTGGTGGTGGTGCTGGTGGTGGTGGTGGTGGTGGCGGTGGTGGTGGTGGTGGTGGCGGCGGCGGTGGTGGTGGTGGTGCTGGTGGTGGTGGTGGTGGCGGTGGTGGTGGTGGTGGCGGCGGTGGTGGTGGTGGTGCTGGCGATCGTGAACGCCATTGACAAGGTGTGGGTGTTGTTAGTGCTGTGGTGGGCAAGTCCTTAGCGACCGAATTCTTAACATCAGTGGTGTGCTCTTGACAACTGCATTTGCGCGAAGTCCAGTCAGCATTTCTACATGTCTATCCATATCTATCTGTCTGCATATCAACAGATCACACCATACTCGCAAACTCCTCACGATGTAACCCCGAGGGGCCTTGGTCAGCAGGCTCCAAATGTCCAGAAGCTGCGCCTCCTCGTCGCTAGTCCAGGCCTCCAGGCGTATGCCGGCTGACTACAGCGCCCTTTCACAGTTTGCTACAGCGGAATCTTGAAAATGGCCGTGATCTCTACCACCCTCTTCACTGCATCGCCGTTGGAGTACGAAACCTCTACGACGAAGCAGGATCATTCTGCCGTCGGCAGCTGGAGTGTGCTACCAATAAGACACTGCTTCGGACTCAGTATCTGATAGAACTCGGTATGCGGCGAGAGTGAGTCAGAATCACGAGAGAGGGGGTTGAGATTGTGACAAAGGCACTGATGCAAGTTTCTCGCCGTGCCCGTCGCCCTTCCTGAAGGGCGCACACCAAGCATCGCCAAGATGAATTCACAATGGAATCCAACTACTTGAGGCCGGGGGATGGAACCTTAATCCCGCCTCACGCGCTTGCTCCTTGAGCTCGCCGACACGAGGGATCCACTCCAACATCCTGCAGCCCAACCAGTGCAGAGATCATGGGCTTTGCAACACCAACTAAACCTGCACCACAGCTACAGTCACGAGAACAAGCATGTGAGCTAAAGGTCACGAGGTAAGGTGCCGGTCAGGGTTTCTGAGAGTGTACAGCGCTCAAGTTGAATATTGGTGGATGTATAGTTGGGCGTAACCATGGGGATACTGCTAATTGCAATGCTGCGTTTTTTGCCAATGCAGATCAGGAGCATCACAGCATTCTTCAGCCGACGGTGGCCAAGCCAATAGCGGTTGAAGTAGTTCCTGTAGCACAGGTGACAAGCTCCGGAGTCTTCAAAAGTCCGCACGGCGCGGCAGGTGCTCGATGTCTGAATTCAGACTGGTAGCCGGCTGAGCAGCAAATCCTCAGGGAAGTTCAAGGGCTGCTTCTTGTACAGCTGGAAGTTCTTGGCCTGAACCAAGGCTTGCAGACGCCGAGAGATTCTACTTCCGACCCACACTACCGAAGCAACATCGCACACCTGTCAGGTGCCAAAGCACTGGGGGTGCCTCGTAGAAGGGTCGCTCACGATCCAGGCCGACCGCGGCCTGTGACAGAGTCACAGAAAACAGGGATAGCAGCGAGATGTAGTATGTCATCAACAACCAAGCCAAACAACGAAAAAAACAACTCCGAAGGCTGTCGTTCTACATGTTATGATGATGATATGAGCTGCGCGGAACTTAGTGGGCTGGGGGGGTCTCAGAGACTGAAATGCTTCGTGGAAGACACTCGGCTGAGAAAACTGATCGACAATGAGACTCAAAACGCCAGGTCTAGATGACGCTAAGTCATGCTCCTCGGAATGGACATTGCGAGGCTGAGTGTATCCGAAGCCCTAAACTCTTGTACGATCCACGAAGAAGCCCACACCTCCGAAGCAATGGACTCTGCACCGCAACCGAAATCCATCCTGAGCTGTTCCTAACCAGAAACCGACCTAGATCCTGCGATAGACTGGCTAGATAGCAACTCAGGATACTCCAGTCTCTGGCCTGTGCTGCCATAACTTACCAGAGCACGGGCCCAACATGAACTGATTGTGTTTAGAACATGCTATGCTCAGCGTATACAGAAGTCAGTTTGAGCTAAAAGGTATATATTAGGTATTTTTTAAATTCCTAACACTACGAAAGCTATTTTGGCACTTCGACCCCTTGGGACATGGAATGTTCAGGCTTTGGCGTGTCTTCCGGCTTTGGGAACTCTCCGTCGGCGTTTTTTGCCTCGCGGCCCTGCGTGAGGAGCTCGTAGCTCCAGGACAGCGGCCTCTCTCCGTCTCGCTGGAAACCTGGCCCAGGATGAGGGTTTGGGAATTATATAGGGTTTAGGGTTTAAGGTTTGGGAATCCTAGGACTCATCAAGGGCCCAAGCTCTCTATAGACTTGTAGGGTCTAGGGTTTAGGGATTTGGGTTTGGGAACTATACTTATAGACACGTAGGGTTTAGGGTTTGGGGGCCCAAAGATGAAGGTTTTGGAATCAGAATATAGGGGGCCTAAATAACTATTACCAATACTCTTTTGGGGATTCCTTATTATAAGTGTAGTATAATGGGCCCCAATACCCTATTCTAAGTATTGAGGTTCATCAAGGCGTTTAGGAAGTTTTGGGATTCTCGGGCGGTGGGCTCAAGAATCAACGCTCGAAAGGAGTCGTGCAGTGCCTCGCTTCGGGCTTCATGGGTTGACCGGGGCTGTGTACGGGGACTCGGGGCTCAGGTTTGGAATTCTGGTTACCTAAACCCCCCAAAAGTATCTAAAATCATGGCTCAACACCTATAAAGGGCTATTATTCTATATACTTTTAGGGTAGAGGTAGAGGCTGTCAGAGCTGACGGACACCTGGCTGAGGTTGTTTCGCTCTCGGAATCAAGCACGCAAGCATGGTCGAATGTCGTGCCGGGTATAGGTACGGAATATTCCGAGGGAACAAGAGAGCGAGGTCGAGAGAGAGAGAGAGAGTTAGCAAGAAAGAACTACAGAAATGAAGAAAGACAGACAGAAAGACAGAAAGAACGACTGAAAGAACGAAAGAAAGAAAGACAGCTTTGAAAGAGAAAGAGACGGGGAGAGGGCGAGACACATGGAGACTTGGCTTCTGTTCTGCCCTCGTGCACACGAGTCTCCCGAGTCATACACACTGTCTTATAGAACACACCGTGACGTACGACAGATGTGAGCACCCCAGGAAGCCGCATCGCTCTATGTTCCAATCCAGACACTTTGAGAGCGAGATTCACTTGAGATTACGAGCTGTTCTGCGCGAGTTCCCCTTCAAACCTCTGATATCCCACCGAATCAAAAAGCCAGAGCGCTCCTGGAATCCCATTAGTTATGTAGTTACGAGCCCCATTGCCCGGATACATCTGCAAGCCTAAGTCTGCGAACTTCTCAATCTCGATCTCCTGTTCCTGTTCCTGCTCCTGCTCCTGGCGGGTGGGATGATGATATGCGGCATGTCTTATACATGCGCATATTTGTACATGTACATAATACATGTGCTAGGTGTATGCTCGTGTACAGCATGTGTATTGTGTGTGTGTATATATATATATATACTCACCTTATGCATGCGTCTTGGCGCACGGAGCAAGACTCTGTGCAAGATGCCGTGGCGTGACATGATCTGGCAGTGGGCGACTTCCAGTGAAGGATCACGACACATCAGTCTGCACTTAAACTTTCACCGAAGCATCAGAACCAAGCAAACACCTCATATCACCTCATAGTGTGAGCAGGCGCCAGTATTCGGAGGACCGAATGCAGACATGCGCAGGGGTATCCGTTTTGGTCGTAGGTATATCGATTCTCGGAACTCTCGTCGTACACATTTTAGTATTCGGTATCGGTTCCCCACGAAACTGGGCTTAGCCCTCCTGCAGAAACGAATCAGGAGGGCCTAGCAACGTTAGTCGCTCATGTGCTGAGCTGGCCTCGTATATAAGGGAACTCAACGAAACGCTCATGATAAAATACTTGGGATGCACTTGCCATAGACCCCGAGCACTTCATCTCCACAGGTTACGGAACACTGCGCACCACGTCATGAGACATTCGCGGGCATGAAGTACGCAAATGTCAGACTTGGTCCGGTTTCTGCGTCCCGTCCTGCTCTTGCTGCTGTTCCTGGTCTGCAGTGCTGACGGTCACCTGCAAGAAAAAGGAGTTGTGGTTGAGTGTCAGCCGTAGCACAAACATGCGTTGTGGATTACAAAGCATCACCACGCACATTGAACTGCCACCAAACTCCAGTTTCAACGCCGCTCTGAAAGAACCGGCCCGAAAGCCTGAAATCCAAAGGCAATAGCCGGAAACCAAGACCTCCGAACATCCTGCCCTAATCCCTAAACCCGAAACCCAAACCCCTAAGCCCTAAACCCCATACCTTAACCCAAACACTCCTATTTATAAACCCTAACCCCTAAACCCTATCCCCGAAACCCCTAATCCCTATAATCCCTATATATAAACAACCCCTTAAACCCGAAAGCTGTGGACCTGCTCCGACTCCGCAGAGACGCCAACGAGGCGCTGGAGCTCCGCCAGCTGCTCTTTGCCAAGGAGCCTCGGGTAATTTGGGGTTTAAAGATTGTGAAAAGTACTAAGTTGCTTTGGGGATTAGGGGTTTCGGGGTTAGGGTTTTAAGTTGTGGCTTGGGGGGCCTAAGGTTTTGGGATGGTTTGGGGTATATGGGGCCTAGGGTTTGGGGGTATATTCTACCATAGCTACAGGTACGTCGAAACCCTCTGCAGGGTTGAGCTTTGAGCTTAGATCTCGAGTTTTGATTCGGGGTTCGTTGCTGTGCACCGAGGCTTGCGAGCACAGGGCTTACAGGCCTTCTTGGGCTGCTACACTGGGCGCCGACGTAGGAGTCTACCGTAGGGGAGGCGACGGGCAAGCGAGTGTTTCTCCAACTGGGCTGCTGCAAACTAGACTACAGATCTGTAGCGAAGCCATCCCTCGACCCAGGGCATGATGCTGTCTAGACCCCCTTGTGCTTTGGATGTTTCTGGGATGGGAGCTCCTGCTAAGTAGATCGAAATGACTCAGGTCAACCCTCCAATGTCCCCGAAGTCTGAGTGGCCCGGCCATTCCTTGTCCTTCGCTCGCTCCTCGATGGCTTCTGCCAAGCTCTTGGGCCTTCGAGCGGGCGGTGCTCAACGACTAGAGAGTTCCTAACCAACTTCAAATCTAATCCATATGCCGTAAGCTTCTGTTCTCATACGACTAGCTCCTAAACAACTCTAACCCTCATCCACAGGCTTCTGTTCTCATAAGGCCACGAGCCCCTGAACTCCTCATGCAAACTCTTTCGCGTGGAGCGTCGCAAAGCAGCTACAAGGCCCATTAAATGCCTCAAACAGCAAGTGGTCTGTGCCGTTCAGTTCCCTGGAACCGTGACAACCTCTCCTCAACGAATTTTGCCTGCGCGCCCTTGATATAGGGGCCTTTATGATTAGAACAGGGTTTCGAAGCCCATTATCCAATAATACTAATAAGGAACCCCCCAGATAGTAAGAACAGTGCGAACAGCACCTTAGAGTACAAACCGTGTGTTTTACCACGAGAAATCATGTACCGGAGATCCACTCTAATCACCCTAAACCCTAAACCTAATCATCAAGGCCGATAATCGCACTACTGCAGCGCTTCACCTCGGGATGGTCGATGCCAGATCTAAGTCCAGGGGCTCCTTCGGAGAGTCGTTTCTTTGGGGGGGGGGGGGGGGGGGGGGGGGGCGGTTGGGAAGCTTTGGGTTTAGGCGTTTGGGGCGTTTCTTTAGGGAAGCTTAGGGGGGACTTGGGTTTTGGGGTAGAAGGAGCTTGAGATTCCGGCTCGCGTTTTGTGGGTCAGAGTTGCGAGGCAACGAGCTCTGCATAGGTTGAACTATGTTGCGGGGCTTCTATTCACTTCGCATGTTCTAAATCCGGAACACGCCTGGGAGGTCCTTGTACCGGCTGAGTCGGTTGTTAAGGTCTTCTCTGGAATTCGTTATAAATTTGTCTCGCGCGGGCCTCAGTCTGACAGATATGAAAATGTTCGTACGTTATGGTTTCCTCGTGGGTGGTCCTGTTGTAGTAATATGCTCTGACGCCCCTCCTTGCATTGACTTTAAAATTAGGTGAACGTGGGATGAGGCTTTCGGGCGTAGGCCTACATCTACACTCCAGTCGCTGGGCCACCAAAAAATGACAACTGTATGCAAGTCGTCATGACATCCCTGTCTATAGTAGTGTATTTTCAGGACAGCAGTCAACAGGAGTGAGATATTCATATCTGACGAAGGATGCTACCGCAGATAGCATGCTTCGGCCAGCTGCCTCGAACACGTCAAGATGCTTCTTCGCCTGCTCAATCAGTGCGTGGCGCTCCCCGGAAACCGTCCCGACAAAAGGCAAGGGCCACTGTGTAGAACACAGCTTTTCGTGCTTAGCAAAACCCACTCAAATATCCGAGAGGACAGGGTTGACTCGAGCATAGGGTGGACAGCTGAGCTGACGCTGCCCCTCTCTGAGCTTCAAGAACCATGCACTTCATCCCAGGCGCGGTGCATCTCAACGTCACGATGCACATCTCTAAGAAGCTCCACTCCCAAACTCCTTACAACCCTGCTGTCGCTACCTCCTGGCCCCCACCCTATACCCCAGTTTTTACCCGGTAGGCCAATTGTCTTGTACGTCCAAAGTCTGGCCTCCTCGCCGCTGGCCTCCTCCGAGTGATCTTGCAGCCAGGCATACGCCGGCCTACCAAGTCCATCAAGATTTACCCATGGGCCCCATAGTAGTGCCTTTTCGGGATTACCTTCTAGAATTCTAAATATGAACCCCAAAAGGAACTACTATGGGGCCTATGGGTAAGATGAACACAGCAAGAACGACGTGGCACAACCCGAAACGAATTCATCGTTCAGCACGTAATCATTTTATCAAAGTCAGATCGAATCTTGTGACAATATGTATGGCATCAAGATCATCTCATCCTCATCCTCATCCTCACCATCATCGTTGCAACCGCACCTACGGTGTAGCTACTGCTATGGCATGGTCACAGCACGTCACAGCCTGGTTAACCGTCGTTTCAACCGACCTTGCTGCCCTACGTCATCATGTAGCTACAGAAAAGCAACAACAGACAACAAACCTTGTCCACCGTGGCTTCCGTGTTGCTCAAGATTGCACCAGTGTTTTGAGCTTGTGCGGCTTGCAGATCCAGCCAGGGCTACTCGGAGACGACGAGACGTCCGAGTGTTTGGACAGGGATAGGGGGGTTTACGGCTTTGGTTTGGGGGAGCTGTTTAGGGTTACCGCGAACGGTTCAGGATAGAGGGATTCGGGTGAGCGACTCAAGACGTGGAAGCGCCAAGGCTGCGACATGAAACCCACGGAGTGCATTACCAAAAGCCTGAACCCTCGGGTCCAAGAGTATCATACCTGGACCCCAAAAGTATGTATAACAAAAGCCCTTATAGGGCTTTGAGCCATTATTTAACATACTTTGGGAGGTTTAGGTAATGTTCAGTCATCAATCGGCCATGCTCTCGCCGGACCCTGAACCTGATAAAAAAAGTAGTTTGCAGACGCCGTGGGCTTGAGAACTGGAGCAAGGCAAGCTCTATTGTTGAAGCTCTGCAAAGACTGAGGCGGCTATAAGAGCAGGCACAACTCCAGATTTGATACTATCACCACTGGAATTGGAGCTACCTGATCGTAGCCTGAACCCTAAACCCAACATTCCGGGATCGCAAATATGACGGCACCTTCGCCACAGCGTATGTGAGTCTTGAGACCTGCTTTGCTGCAGTAGGGCGAGTAATTTACAGTTCTTGTCCTACCGATGTGTTCTATGCACAACATGCCACATCACCTGCGTATACAGACTGTATGCATCAAATTTACATGGTGCTTCGTGCATACTCAGCTACAGTCTGGGGATACAGTACCTGCTCAGGAATGTTGGGCTTCCCAGAAGGAATGAAAAGGTATACTGATACTCCCAATGAGCATACTGATAAGGAAAGCTTAAAGATCATGCCAACAGTAGCTGGTGCTGCGGGAATCGTAGTCCGTGGCTCTCGCAGTAGCTCCCCTTGTGCTTGAATTGAACTCGTCCCGCACATGCCATGGAAAGTTCAGTGCAAAGTATTTCAACTTGTCGAGTTCTGCGCGATGATCATTTCCGCCCATTACAAAGCCGCCCCCAACAACCCTGTACAGCCCGGCAAAACCGTATCACCCCCCCGCCATGTCGCACCTCAGCATCCCTGCTTGAACACGCTCGGACCGGAGCCCGTTCAGCACAAGCCAGGCCACCACGCGCACGAGAGGAACCCTGGTGTTGCAGGGCTGTCCCTGTATGGTTGGTCTGAGATTTCTGAACTTTAGTTAGGGAGATCAAGGCTGCGAATCATGACGATTATCTTTATGATAGCGATGATGACGACGATGATAATGTCTGTCAGTACACAGTCGCGTAATCACGCGCACACGGGGCTTGGAATTGCGGTATAGGCCGGGCCCACAACCAGCATTCGAGCCTGGTTTCAATGACTGTTGCTGTCGCAAGTGTGCAAACAAGTCAAGTGCTTGCCTGTACAACATGGCAGCGAACGCTTGAAAAGACCAGAAGATGTGTAGAGAAGAGCAGGAACAGTGTCATCAGCTGCAGCTAGAAAAAGCCAAAAGCACTGGAGCCCACCGCTAAATGCTACTCGCATGCCGCGCCTCAGCGTCTCAGCATTGAGATTCACACCCACAAGGGATGTGTCGATGAGCTTCGCGACCTCCGAGTTACGCCCCGGTTTGTATGGTGGCAGAGCCGTCCAGATCTGCAGATAGGTTGATGATGCTTCTGACAGAGGCAAGAACGATGCCACCACACGCTGACATCATTGCCACTGTTCGAGGTCGGCATGATCCTCAACATCGTCACCGATGACAGCAGCAACACCGTCACGTCAAACAGCAAGCAGCAGGGTGGTGGTGATGATGGTGATCTTCATGGGCGTGATGATTGCCACAACCGTGTAAATCATCGTCAATACCCTCGCCATGCACATGCAACCTTACCGTCTTGTTGGTCAACATAGTGGTTCTCGGTTCCGTGGTACGCCACATTTCTTTCTAGTGGATGAACAACTGTAGGAACCAGTGTAACAGTCAGGTTCGTTGTTTCTCGTAGCGAACGCATTCAGAATACGAAGGGTGCGGCAAGCGGTGTGTCTGGTCTACCAATACGCTAATACGACGACGATGACTACCACTGCTTGAAGTCCACTCATGCTCCTTCCTACTCCGACCCCTACTAGTCCCACCACGACCTGCGTCCACGTTTGAATATGGAGGACGATTGTCATCTTGACTATGGTCATCGTCGTGCTTCTGATTCATGGGCTCCTTAACATGATTCAGGATGATCACGACGAAGGCAGTCACTGAGGCAACAACCTCCGGAATGGCATAGACCACGACGCGCTGGCCACGATTGATGCCACGCATGCGGTAGGCACCCTGAGTTCTGCCAGGCTTTGGGTAATGAAGCGATGAAGTGGCTGCTTGTCATCAGAGAAGGTGGTTGCCGGGACAAGGAATGGCACAGATACCATCTGCATGTATCACCGAGAGCAGTGTGATGCCAGGATCCGGCCTGGCAGTAGTCCCTCCAAACCATGTCCTGTCCAGGGTAACTTAACTTGGCTTGCAGATACAAGCTAAGCTGAACATCAACAGCTGGCTCAAGCAAATCCCAGTCAGGTTTACTGGCGTGCATTATAAGGACGTTTTGGCCAATGCTTCTAATACACCGAGGTTGAAATAGCTTTGTACAGTCATTAGAGCTCATGAAGCGGTTTACGAGAACTTGCGAGAATTTGCCGGAACGCCCAAGCTTCGGCACGATGCCCGGAAAAAGCTACCTGGGCTTACGAGCCATCTGCCATGAGAGTCCTCGCACACCAAGTGCTACACTAGCCGCCGATCGAACATATAATGAGAGCGAGAGTCAGAACCACATGGGAGTTTCCGAAAATGGGGGACCCTAATATAGTACCATAAACAGTAGGACCCCTATTGAAAGGACCCCCAAATAAGGTACCCCTAATTTTGGGAAACTCCCACATCAACCTCGAATCAGCATCAAAACGATCGTGGCAAAAGTCGCCTTGCCCAAAGTGAGCACGGCGCGTGCATCCGGCTTGTGCTGGATGTCCATTCCAGTGGTGTGCACCTTCCGAGGCTGTAAACCAGAATGCAACAAGCAGGCGTGCCTGCAGATTCGAAACCCCGCGGGTCCAGCAAGCCTAACAGAATAGTAAGTTGCTAGGAAAACGTGAGGGGCTTTTGCACAGCGGCTCCGGAAACATTACGTTTTACCGAATCCCAATGCATAATTCAGTGCAACCGTCGCGAGACTGACTGACTGACTGACGGACTGGGAGCTTGCCGAGAGCACGTCATTCATCTGTGAACCCCTGCATGGGCGACAACTACACATGAACGCACTCTCGCTCACTCTATCTCAATCTGTGCCAGTCTCTCTCCTCCCTCTCTCTGTTGGGAGGTTCTCGAAAAGCTTGGAAAATCTGGCCGGTCAATCTTTTTTGGTACCTGCGAGACCTGCGCATGACTCCAGTTGATTCCGGTGACTCGGTTGGGAACAGTAAGTCGCCAGCTCTGGAGAGTGCCGCATTCTGTACTCTGTCCGAGGTCTGTCAAGCGATCGGACATCAGACAGTCACTAATTAAACTACTGAGGCCAGCAAGTCAACGCCAGTCAGACCTCAGGAGAACAGACGCCAAAGCGCCCATGGCTCGTCAATTACCAATGTACTGCCCCTCCTTGAAGAATGTCCCGTACTGCGGAGCGTCGTAGGCCTTCGTGTGTATGTCTAACCACCGGATCCCCGTCTCAACCAAAAGCTGGATTTCTTCCGATAGATCCTCCTTGGCTTCATGTTTGGCTGACAGCTCGGCATGCTTCTTCCGCAGAGTGGCCAGGAAACGATTATGCTCGCTTCGGTGGGTGATTACATTCGGTATCTTGTACTCTTCGAACAAAGCTTCCTCCGCCTTAAAGTGGACGTCCACTGCATCGATAATATGCCCCAGATCCTCAACACAGCTTGAAGACTGCTTCAAGGCAATGACCGCATCGTACAGCTCTTCATGCTGAGAATCCATTTCGGGTATGTTCACGGACAGGGTGTGCATTGTCTTTGCCATGGCTCAGCGCAATTCCAAGAAGCTTGCCAAAGAAAAAGCGAACCGTGATCCCTCGGTCGGACTCAGGATAGCTTGAGCCCTGGGACGAAAGCCGAAACACATGTTTCCATGGTCCTGACTTGCCTCTTCACAAGAGACTCTGAATGCAAACTCAGCAAGGCGTTGGCTTAAGAAACTCGGCTACCCAACGGGACCCATGTCCATGCCAGGAATGATGCATGGGCATACAATCCTTGTGGTGATGACAACAGCAATAGGCGCCAAAAGTGTTCGCGCCTGGTCGTAGAAAGCAAAGCGCTCGGACAAGGGAATGCCGCAGTCCTCGAGCTTCATCGTGGATTTCCTCGGTTTCATGGCTTTCCAGGTCGTTCGCGTTGTCATTCCAACTCTGGATTCATAGGGCTTCAAGGACTGGAGTCAGCAGCTACGGGAACGCCATGATTGTTGACGGGCAAGATTAATGTTTAGACGGCGGTCTTGCATCTGTAGCACACATTCCTGCAGCCACGATGCAAGCATCAGCCAACTGCTTTCAACACTGAGCTAGGACTTTCCTCCTCCTGCGGCCATGAGGTCAAGTCTCCCTGCAATGACGGTTGCCGGATGACTGCACACTGCAGCATGAGCCGCCCATGATAACAATCCTCCAAGTGCTTCCGAGTGTCGTCTTTCGAACATACACCATCTTTGCATCGGCTTCGTTCAGATACACAACCTCAGGCTCTTTGAGAAGGCAAAGCTGTCTGGCGAAGCCCCAGCTCTGGCCGCCTAGGCTAACTATAGAGGGATCATGCAGGAAAACCATGGAAAACTACTACCAAGCATTGATCATTAACCCTTCAGACCCCTGTCATACCCGAGCAGCTCATCATAGAAGTTCCGTGTTGGGGCTCTGAGCCTCCAGCAGCCGACTTCTTGAAATCTTTATGGCCGGCCAGGAACTGTGCCACCTGCGACTCTGCGATGCTGTTGCTCCCAGCATGTTTTGAGCGGAAGAGACGTAAGTAAGTGACATGAGGGTCTAGGAGATTTCAATCAGCCTCTTATTCCATAGATCCAGCCCTGGATAGAAGATATGAGAGGCCGCAGAACCGAAGCACCTTCGGGCCTCGAGAGGCTGGAGGCACTTTGGCGATTCGGCGTAGAAACTACGTGACCCAACGAGATCCCAAACCGGACAGCCCAAGGCCCAGCAGAATCCCCAAAGCTCCTCTCAATCAACAACCCCAAAATGCAAAAGCTTCAACAACCGTAATAAGATAGAGCTGAATACGATAGGATACAACATAAGCGGATACAATACTACGTATGAAAAAACCTGCAAGTTGACATGCACTTGTGATCCAAATCAGTGGAGTGCACAGCTAGCCCCCACCACAAAAGAAGTGCACTGTAGACTGTAGACCTGAACCCCAGACCCTAAACCCTAAACCCCAAACCCAAAAACCCTAAACCCCAGGACTGTTCTGTTCCGGCCTCCAGATTCGACATGCCAGTGATCAAGGCCCCGGTGTCGATGAGAGCCTCTACGTCCTCCCGGGAGGCTCCAAGTAGGGCGGAGAGAGTTCTAGCAGGGATCTATAGCGGCTTTTATAGGTTTTAAGGATTTGCAGCTTAGAAGTCTTGTTTGGTTGATAGGATGTCCTTTTTTAATTTAATGATAGGATTTCAAGGCTTTACATACGAGTAGAATGTTTGTTTAGGGTGGAGGTTTTGTAGGAGTTCGGTCTTCTGGACCTGGGGCCTCGAAAGAAGCGGTCGCCAGGGAGACAGCTGGTTTGGACGGAATGGGTTGCGGATCTATCTGGGGGTTTAAGGTTCAGGGTTTAGGGGCTTAGGGTTTAGGGTTTAGGAGTTTAGGGTTTAAGTTCAGGGTTTAGGGGTTTAGGGTTTAGGGGACTAGTGTTTAAGGTATAAGGTTTATAGGGCCTGGGATGTTTCAGGTGCTTGGATTGAGGGATGTGGCTTGGGAGGGATGTTCAGGTACGCGAAGCCGTGGCTTAGTAAACTTGCACTTCTTACCCTACACCTTAACCTAATCCCAAACCAGAAGGACACACCCCAAACGGGGTAACATACGGGCTTAAATAATTAGAACTCATTGGAATACTGTTCCGTGCAGTTCCAAAGTACATTTATGATGTCATGTATTCCCAAACCCTCAGGCCCCTATATAAGTATTCGAGGTTCCTTTGTTCCAGTACAGGCCATTGCATTCGAGTCGATGGCTCGAAGAGGCTTTGGTTTCGGGCTAGCTCTCTTAAAACAATCTGCGGAACAGGACAGGAGGGCTTTCGATACCCGGAAGTCACGGTCGCTGCCCCCCTTGTTACCTGACAACTAACCAGTGGTTTTGGGGGTTCCATGGCTCTTTAGCTCCTTATTAAACCGGGATTATCATCATCCCTGGCTCTTCAGCTCCTCCAATATCAATGGTTAGACAAGTATACAGCAGGCTTCGGCCTCAGCTACCACATTCTCCAGCAGGGTGTTCACTTTCCACTGGCCGTCGATCTGGCAAGACCGCAAGAGGTCAATCGATGTTCAGCGAATTGGGGGGGCACTGTGGAAATGGTTTGCTTTCAAAATCCCAGAATTTTCTGACCCTTGGATAAGGCACCTAATTGAACCGTAGAGTTAGCCAAAACTGAGGGGCATGCAAACAATAAGGGAGCTGCCCAGCTCGACTCAACTGCAGAAAGTGCATGGAATCACTCTGTCTCATGGGGTTTATCAAGCCACAGGACTTATGCTGCTGCCAAGGGCTCCTTCTTGACCTACTGCCCGCTTCGGTCTGCCTGCTTGAAGCTCATGACCACCGGATCGGTGAGGGTCGTAAACATCGCAGCGTCATCACCCGGCCTGGGTCAGGCTGGCACGATGACCCTGAGCGAGAATAGAACACGATTACACGATTACGGAGTTCCCCAGCGGAGAAGACAGTCACATGATGACAGCTGACGTCCCTTTGGGAAGGTGGATCAGAGCTCGCGACGCGAAGTGGCAGCGGCCAAGCCCTTTGGGAAGCAGCTCTGTGGGGGTGCCACTGAAGCCGACGCGACCTGATAGAGAGCTCACGACTGGAGGATGATGATGATTTCAGTCCTTCCTGCTGTCGACGACTATTTGCTCTTTCTATATAGTAGTCTGCCTCCCCGCTGCTACCAGTCTACAGGCGTGCATAAACACCAAATGGACTCTGAGCTGAAGGCGTGCGAAGAGCATCTCCGCCCCAAGCTCCTGTCATCTGCGTTTCTGACATCGTATTTTGGGCCGTTCTTTACGGTTTAAATTCCAAGTTTTGGCTTCGGTTTAAGCCGCCAGAACCTATCCCTCCTGGCTGCATGAATGGACCCGAAATGCCAGGAACTAGGACTCCTGGCATGACCACTGACAAAACCAACACTGAAAACTCTCTGGCTGCACGAGTGTCCTGTCCACTTGCTGAGAGCTTCTTGTTCTGGAACCTGGCAGGTCGTCTCTACGAGAATGTTGACTGGCTAAGCAGAACACCCCTGAGAATTCACAAACGCACAGAAAACAGGGTTGCACAGCCAGCCGTGATCAAACCACTTACCTGAGTTGAACAGCTGCACAGAATTCTTTAGCCGGCCTCATGTACTTTGGGAAGACCAGCTGCTCCAAGTACCATTGGATCACGGAAGTGGAGCTGCGCAGGAGCTTGAAGACGTCCTTCGGTTGTCAGCTTAGGCAAAAGACTCTCAACCCGAGAGCCGGCAGTTATAATCAGAACCCACACAGAAAAAGCATGCTCTTCTCCGAACATCCGGGGTCCCTCATCTGAGTATCATTGGAGCGTTGCAGCAGAGCCAGCGGCGGAACACCTGCAAGAGGCTGACGGTTTAGCCTCTGAAGGTTTAGGGTCCAAAGGTTTCGGTTTCGGGGTCAAGCGGCGATTGAGAGGACTCCTCGTGAACGGTCCGGTAACTGGAAGCCCAAAGCCGAAGAGATCGCTTGGCTGAATGCACGAGGCTTCAAAGATGCGGCCGCACTGGGAGTGCACTCACCCAAAGTTTGAACCGACACATTCATATAGTCCCCAACACCCACAGCAAAGAAACCTTCACAGGCACCTACAGCCAGCCTGTCAAGCCCGAACGTGCGAACGCTTGAGCTCGCGCCTTTACCGATGTCCACCTTCTCAGTGTTCGGCACCGATGGGTCCTGGGATCGGCCCAGAGTGGTCGAAAATCAGTATTTACATATTATGTACACTATACACACACACATATTACAATACAAAAGAACACTATCATATATACTATAATATAGTATAGTAAAATTTGGTAAGTTCATTTTTAGTGTGTTGGGGCTCCGGTGCTGCCACCGAGACGAGCCTAGCATCACTCGCCACCAGGATCTTTGACGGGGATGTGTGTCGAGTGACCATCAAATCAAATGTGCTAGCTACTAGCATCCTCTCGGGATGCCATGAAGAAACTGCATCGCTGCTGGCTGCACAGATGAATCAATCCTTCAAGCTCGCGAGCTCACGGCGACAGTTGAAGTACCATGCAAGAATACCCGAATTGGAAGCTGCGCAGTCGTAGCAAAACCGAAACACCAGAAGAGCACAATAGTCTTGTGCAGCAGTGTATCGAGAAGCAGTAGCGCATCGAGAAGTAGTAGAGTATCGAGAAGTTTCGGTGTGGTACATACATACGTGCATTACTATACTTGGTCTTCAGCTAGACCCTAAGAAATAAACAGACCCGTGCAAGGCTAGGATCCTTCCCGGCATGAAGATTACCCAGTCATTGGTGTCTGGCCTTTAAGAGCCCCTCGGATCACCTTGTGCAGGATCTGCATTTCCCAATTTCCGCCCGGGGGCCAGAAGACCAAGCCCAAACTGTCAGGCAATCAAGCACAGCCGGGGAAGCGTGGCTGAGGCTCTGGCACAAATATGGCCACCGGCCTCAGTGACCCATCCGCGGTAGAGGACCGCAGATGGCCGATCCTGCCAGAAGTGCGCATCGGCGCTGTTGTCAAGCCCCACAACAACACCAATAGCATCAGCACCGACGACTACAACCAGCATAGATGTGTAGCACCAGCAGAGCAGCCTGAATCAGCAGTGCCACCACCAGTTCAACCACCATCACCAATGCCAAAACCAACCAAAAAATCACGGCAACACAACGGCAAATGCAGAATGGCATTAGCATCAACAGTCCTTGCCATATCATAGCCGTGTCCAGGATATGGAAATGGCCATAGCGTATAGGGACAAACAAATAAGCGGACTGCATTCGACTCCAGCGCTCCTGCTGTCTCCCGGGCTCCTTTCGAACATCGTTTAGAAGCCGGACGATGACCTGAAAGCACTCGACGCCAAGTTGAGGGTTCTATGGACGTATCGCAGCCCTGGCATTTGTACCTGTGGCTTTTAACTGCAGCCCTCCATGCCTCGTCAATGTCAGTCAGGCGAAGGTACTCGTAGCGATACCTGCAACCAACAACACAGCGCCTTGTACCAAAGGCTCTGCAAGGGGAACGCATGTCTCTTCTCTGGGCCTAGTCGTTTTGGTGGCTCCAGGCCTTGAGCTAGCCAGGGCAGGGGACAGTTGACATGAAGACCGTCCATCCCACTATTCTACGATGCTAAAGCAAGCCTGGCTTTTAACACGGCTCCGAACAGATTCCATGCGGAGGGCACCCCAGGATGGTCAGGCCGATCACAATGTCTGGGTGAGCAAACCTCGGCTGGGGTGCTGATGCTGACAGGGCAGCTGGTGCTCTAAAACGTTTAGCGTGCTAGTTGGTGTCTTCAAGTATCTTACAACGGCAGCTCAGGTGCTACTAGTATGCCAAGCTGTGTCATGGACGTTTCAGTTTCCCATAGGCACTAGCAAGTCATAGTGGGCAGCGGCGGGATCAGGCCTACAATGGTCAGCCTCCTGTAGCCATCGCTCCAACAGTTGCTCCTGAATCCACAAAGGGTCAGCAGTCTCGAGGCAGGGGCTCATTTGTCGGGGACGGCACATCTTTCCCAACCTCGGCATCCCGACAGTAGCAACAGCCGGAGAGCAGGGGCTCGAGATGTCGGGCGGCCGCTTATCAGCTCCGACTCAAGAAGCTGGTTGCAAGACATCTCCGGGCCGGCGGCGAAGGGGATTGCAAGCTTGCCTGCGGCAGAGCTTTCCATGAAGGAGACGAACAACACATTCATGAATACATGCATATGTGTGTGCACATACATACCTATGTGTGCGTAAATACAAGAACTACACCAAAACGCAAGAGTGGGACCTGCAAGGCTTTTCGGTTTTAAAAGTCCGGCGAGTGTACTTTCCAAGGCTGCGGCTTAGAACGCCTGAGTCTGTGAGTATGTATATATATATATATATATACTTATTTACTTATACTATGTTATCAGAGACCATGCCCTCATCTGCCCTACGTGCCTCTCGAGAGTGGCATGTTGGGATCGGCCTCCAGCGCCCTCTCGAGATCCTGCGTGAATTGCATCATTGTGATCTTCTACCATCTCTTCTGAAGACTCATTGCATTACCCTCACAATAAGGATTATTTGTCCTGGCACAGCCAGTGCTTCTCATCTAACGCCAGTTCTTCTGGTGCCCAGTAATCTGGCATTGAAACCTCAGCCTGCAATCGCGAACTCGATGCTTGCGATCATGACCTGTGACGGTTAACGGACGCCATCTCGATCATCCTCGCCACACTCATCCCAACACCTTTCTTGTGCCTTTCATCATGATGAGGACCAGTGCCAGCATCACCATCGTCATCAGCGCAGTCTCAGGATGCTGGATGATCGCAAGAACCATAAAGACTAACGCATCAGTTGCGGAGTCAGAGTGCCTGGAGCAACCTGCGAGAATCAGAAGAGAGGCTGGATGTCACAGTATCTTAGAGTATACTATACAGTAGTAGTAGTAGTAGTAGTAGTAGTAGTAGTAGTAGTAGTAGTAGTAGTAGTAGTAGTAGTAGAAGTAGTAGTAGTAGTAGTAGTAGTAGTAGTAGTAGTAGTAGTAGTAGTAGTAGTAGTAGTAGTAGTAGTAGTAGTAGTAGTAGTAGTAGTAGTAGTAGTAGTAGTAGTAGTAGTAGTGGTAGTAGTAGTAGTAGTAGTAGTAGTAGTAGTAGTAGTAGTAGTAGTAGTAGTAGTAGTAGTAGTAGTAGTAGTAGTAGTAGTAGTAGTAGTAGTAGTAGTAGTAAGTAGTAGTAGTAGTAGTAGTAGTAGTAGTAGTAGTAGTAGTAGTAGTAGTAGTAGTAGTAGTAGTAGTAGTAGTAGTAGTAGTAGTAGTAGTAGTAGTAGGAAGTAGTAGTAGTAGTAGTAGTAGTAGTAGTAGTAGTAGTAGTAGTAGTAGTAGTAGTAGTAGTAGTAGTAGTAGTAGTAGTAGTAGTAGTAGTAGTAGTAGTAGTAGTAGTAGTAGTAGTAGTAGTAGTAATGTATAGTAGTATACTGTGGCACATTATAGTGTATTATAGTGTATCATAGTTTACCATCAGTATATTATTCTTATTATTATTGTTCGTATTTTATAGTCACCATGGCAGCACCTGCAAAGTCCTCTACGCTTCACAGGCGGGTCCTCAGCGGTCATCACTCCGAAGGACACCCGATCGATCTTCGCCAGGCAGTGCGGGAGCAAGAGGGAAAGCCAGGTCTCGGCGTCAGAGCAACCACGAAGCTGATAGAAAAATCAAGATACAAATAAACAAACAGTATGTATAAACATATGTAACTAAGAAAGTAAAACGATTAGTAATTACAAATCTGATGGTTGCTACAAGGCTTCTTTGTGATGGTTTAAGAAGGCTTCCCTTCTATCGCTCGCCATCCCCTGACTCTCGGACACTCCCGGTAGAGAGAGCCATAGGTCGGAGAAAGGCTGCCGAGGCACGTGAGCCAGGTTCAGCATCTTCATCTCAGCCTCAAAGTGCGTCGGAGACTTCCGCAAGATTGGGAGTTAACTTATTCTGGGGTCCTGATAATAAGGAGCCTAATATGCAGGATGCCATATTTGGGTCCCCTATGTTCGGACGTTGAAGTAAATACAAAGAGGGGCCTCATTAATTTCAATGGGGTGATGAGGAATCTTGAAGAGTAAGCATAAGAAGGAACCTCACCGGATAAGACAGGCGTCTATTGTATTCCAAGGCAAGAGTTAGCTCCCTGACTTGGGTTTCTGCCCTTACATTTATGATTCGGTCCTGGCAGGGCCGCAGGGTCATCACCGGACCGTCGCAGACGAGGCCGAGTGAAACGGGTGAGCCGTTGTTTTCGTGGCAACGAACATAGTAATAATAGTAATAACAATAACAATAATAACAATAGTAGTCATAGCAGTAATCATAGTAGTAATACTAGTACTAATAGCAATAATCATACTAATACTAGTACGCTCGGAACGAAGTCGAGCGACCCCGGAGCGCTTCGACAAGTCCCAAGGTCCGTGCGGCGGGAAGCTTTGCGAAGGCAGCCTCCTGGGAAAGTTTGGGCTTTCACGACCAAGAGGCAAAGGGGGAGTTTCCGAAAATAGGGGGGTTCCTTATGTTGGGACTGTTTAGGGCACTATATTGGGGTCCCATATTTCCGGAAACTCCCAAAGGCTCACGTGACCTGACTCACGCCTGCTGGCCTGATGCAGCCTAATTTTGGCTTCAGGGGCCGGGAGGGCTTCAGGAAGACGCGAGTCGGCTTACAAGTACTCTCACCACGGCTGTAGTTAAGATGACCTACAAGGCCATTTCTGAAGCGCTAAACCCTGAACCCCTGAACCCTAAACTACCCACAGGCCCCATAGTAGTTCCTTTTTGGGGGTTCATATTTAGATATATTTAGAATTCCATAAAGGTAATCCCAAAAAGGAACTACTATGAGGCCTATGGGTAGGAAGTGAGTTGCAACTGCATCCGCTGCTCAGCTCAGCTCCTGCTCGGGTGTTGCCTTCTCATCCGATGCCCGCATAAGGTAGCCTGGCAGAGGAACCCTGATGTGGGACTTCAGAAAAAAGAAGCACTAGCGGCAAGCAAGTAAACTAAAATGTGGGACTTCAGTTCGGACTTCGGTTCGGGTTTGCAGTTTGCAGATTGCGGGGCATTTGCAGTTCCGAGATGGCTAACGTCTGCGACATCACAACCTTTTTACTCTCTAAGACTCCTCCGCAGACGACGTCGATGTTGACAGTAGCAGGAGTGGTTCCAGCAGCAGCAACACATGAGCAGCAAAGGAAGCAGGACATGCCGGTAGCAATACTCTTGGTGGCGGGGACAGTAGTATTATTACCAATGTTCGTATGATATATTAAAATTAATATTAGTATTATTATTAACATCAGTATTAAGAATATATAATATTAGTATTATTATTAATATTAGTAGCTTCACGATAGTCACATCTGGTAAAGCCGAGGCTCTGCTCACAGTCGCTGTGCGCAGTCTCGCAGCGGAGCCTGTGTCAGTACATGTCAGTTCTCGACATGCCTCAGGTTTACTTACTTGAGTGGTTGTCAAAACTATGGTCCCTTCTTGGGTACCCTAAATAATAGGTGCCGTATTATCATAGGGACCCAAAAAGGGACCGTAATTTTGACAACCACCCACTTGATTCCGACAGACTTCAAGATCCCTCTATGTTGTAACGACAGACAGGATCCGGCTCAGACTTGGTGGCTCATGAGGGGCGACATGTACCCCGACTCATGGGGGCATGTCTGTTAAGCCAGCTCATAAGCCCGCATGCTTCAAGTCCGGCATTCCGGGTTTCTACGGCGGCAGTTCCTTTAGGTACAATTCTCCTGCATGGATCTCAAAGGATCCTCTCCGAAGCGAGTGGCTTTCCACGCATTGGTAACTGCGAAAGTTGTCGTAGTGATACTTCTAGGAATAAGAAATAATCAGAGACTTCATTAATGCAACGGTACGAAATGATAGTACGTGAAGTCAGCAATCACGAACAAGTGATAATTCTGAAGACCTTTCACTGGGAGACACGTCCACTGGTTTTGCTCTGAATCCAACTGGAAGACACATTCACTGGTTTTGTGTTGAATCGTCTCTGCTGCCGTGGCCATGTGCATCACTGATGTACGAATCCGTGCGCAGACCACGATTAAAGGCTGCGAATAGAAAAGTCACAATGCCAGCGAGCACCGGCACGCAACATCCAGAGACTATAGTATAATGCAACACCAACCACATGCAAAACTCATCCGACTTCACAGCTCATCGGTCCAATATTTCGTGTCCTGCCTCCCTCCGCGGCGTCCATGACACCCTGGCAACAGCAGGATGTTCTAATATTGATATTAATATATCATACTAATATTGATAATAATGCTACTGAACCAATACTACTGAACCACAAGCTGTAGCGAGTTTAGCATGCTCCCGGGGTGCAGCTTTGCCCAGCGAGGGCTCTTTCCTTTCTATGCGGCACAGGGCCAGAGACGAGGAAAAGGCTCCGACAGCTTGGAGCTCCTTTGTTTTTTGCCATTCTGTGCAGACAACCAAACACTAATGTAAAATTTAATAGGGTTTAGGGCTATATTGTACTACTCGTATGATATATGTATGTAAGGAATCCCCAAAACCCGATTCTAATGAAGGTCCCTACATTACCCAAACCCTGGGGCGCTGGGGTACAGTATTGGGTCTGGGTCTGTCTTGCAAGTCGCCTGCGACCGCAACCAAAGCATCAGCCACTCTGTGAGCAAGGGCTTCATCTCCTGTTGTCAAAGGTAAGGCGCAGGGTTCGTTTTGCTGCGAGGATACCAGGGCTGATAGCAGTGCTGGGTGGTTCGTACTCGGATTTATGCTAATCTTCACAGGCACCTGATCCAAACGGGGCTTACAGCACGAGCAGCCGACCAACTGATCTGGATGCAAGAGTATTCATGCAGCACGCATTCTGGTAAGGCGAGCTTCACAATTGCAAACGCAAAACAGAACTCCAGGCAGCAGTCTTCCGTTGATGAAGACTGATGTTCAAAAGCAGTAATTCACAGAAAACACTTTAGCAACTAGCCCATGCAATGGTGTCTAGCCGGTGCCTTGACGAAGAACTGCTCTTCAAGCAACACGAGGTGAGGAGAGGCTTGCAAAGCCTGACGTGCTGGCATGTTCGGCAAGAGAAGCGGGTCTCTTGTCCGGCTTGAGCTTGGCAGTCACACCATGCCATTTACCGCAGTAGAAGCAGTACCTGCAGGAATTGTCACTCGCAGTCAATTCTTGCTGCTGATGTAAAAGCTACGATGTGATATCTTTTAGATGAGCCGATGAGTAGGCTACCCCTGACCAACGCCCACACTTTGGACCGGCTACGACGATGTGTATCATCGTTGCTATTTCTGCTATCCAAGGACCAGTTTTACTATCGTGGTTGAAGTTTCGCTGCTCTTGAGCATGGTGCTCGGCAGCAAGAATCCCCTTCCCTAGCAAAGGCACTGAGCCACTGTTGAAGCCGTAAAGTTGCTGAATGCAAGTCTGGCGGCCTTGCTTGCATAGCCTTGTGCGATTCGCTTGCTCAGGCCAATCGCAATCTCCTGGAGGGCATGCGCATAGGTAACGACCAAAACAGTATGAGCAAGACCCGAAATCATGTCTTGACCAACGATGCAATTGGACGTAATCAACCTCAACACGAACAGCATCCTTAACATGTGGTGTGATATTCGCAACCTTAGTTTGGGGCTTGCTCCTGCTCCTGCTCGTCGGCGGCTTCGGTAAGTGTTCCAAACGGCTAGAATCGAGAAATCGAGGTTCATGTCATGGGGCTTCCACAAGACTGTATGATCTTGCTGCACGTGGCCTTGCTCCACGTGACTTGCAATTCGCCCCATGCATCCTCCAGCACGCCCTCCCCCGAAACCCCAACCCTTAAAAAGATTACGGTTCGGATTAGGAAAAGGAGGGAAACTGGGGGCGACTGTCTCTGCAACCCTGCGCGCCATTCTCAGGACTAACGTATAGTCGTGTCTTGCCTTTTAACAACTGTGCTGAAGCTTTAGGGAACCAGTATAGGGAATCAGTACGTAGCATGTCTGTTCTTGCTACTACCAATGGCGCAAGATTTCCGTCTAATGCAAAATCCTTATAACGTGTCCCGTTTGTGATTCTTCATTGCAAACACAGCTTCCGTGATTCTGCGGATGACAACAGGGCGGGGAGGACAACAGTCATACTGTTGCAGTCGTATATTCACAACCGCAACCATGGTATTCCTAACGATCACTGCCCCCTGCAGACTGGTCCTTGTAACGTGTACCCTGCGCCCCGGAGAGATGTGCCTCATGAACAAAGCTCGGGGAAGAGGAGTCTTGCCGGGCTTGAAGTGACTCGGTATTACGCTTGAGCTCTTTTCGTTTGCCCTGCCTCCGCGTTTGCCGGGATCTTGCCTCCAGCTTTCATAATGGCCTCACGCAGTATGGGATGGCATGTGCTGCCCACAATACAGAAGGTCGGCACAATCAACTGGTATTTCAGAAGATTATAGACTGATCTCCAAGTCTGAAGCATGTCTCGGCCCCCCCATCACCGAGGAGACGCCTAATCTTCCAGAGTCTGAAGCCCTGAAACCAAGCAACTCGCGAGAAAACCAAGTCGGCGTAGCCTCTGCCCAAAATCAACCTGCACCTCGGGCCCATGAATCCTCAGAACAAGTAAAAAAAGCTATCATTGGAAAGGGCACCTGCGCCAAGAAGAAAGCTTCGAAGAGGTGCATCGGCAAGGTCTGAAGTCCGGCAGAGCGATCGAGTTTAGGGATTAGAATTGAGTGCTGAAGGATGTTCATCAAGACGCTGATAACAATCTGGGTCATAATGTGGTGACGAAGACAACTTTGATTCGGAGGAGGAGGAGGAGGAGGAGGAGGAGGCGGAGGAGGTCGGATAAAACTGGTGAATATGTGTCGTCATCCGGATTGTGGTGATGATGATCCTGACCACGATAATGTTAACAAGCCCCGGAAGTATTGAGCGCATCCGTTTGCTAACCGAACCAAAGCCCTAGCAGACCCTAGCCACGCTTGGCCAAGGTCCCACTGCCGGCAGAGCCAAGGCTGCTGGCATTGTGGGAACGAAAACATGATCACACCTGCGCTGATACATAATCCCAATCTGATCATACCACATAGCCGGAGTACTAGTAGCGGTCGTCATCGTGGTCGCGATGTCTGTGGAGTTCGTGGAGGCAGAGTCGTGGCCGTGGCGACACTAATTTCTAACAGCTCCCGCATCACTCGGAGCCTGTGGACAAAGAGACAGGTTCCTGCCTTCAATGCCTTTAACGAACGGCGGTCTTCACCTCTCGATCAGTTCTGCTGGGCTACCCGGCCCAGCGGAAAGCACGAGGGGAGGAACCGTCCAGAGGTTCCTGCATAGAAAGCCGTCTGCAGAAAGCAAGCTAACCTGACATGCAACATCTCACCTGTTGGGCAATTCTTACTGCTGCTTTCGTGTTGCAAAGGTATGTCACGTCCGCAATAGTGCACCGGAAAGTCGTCTAAGTAGAACCCGTCGCACATGCGCGCATCCTTGGGGCCGTAGGGGAAGTTCAGCTCCGACTTCAGCGGGTGTAGCACCACATCCACCTGCCAAGTGCGTGCACACGGAGATGGGCGTGCGATGAGGCAGAAACTGCGAGATCATCCGTCCGTGCTTCTTAGTCCCTCTACTCTGCGTCGTGTGGATGCTAGGAGGAAGGGCGGTCGCTTGCATTGCATCAATGCCCTATCGATCGCTGCGATGCCAAAGGTTCGAGATGCAACGATAGCTTCAGCGGCGAAACGCAGCTTCTGGGACTTCAGACCCAGATATACTATCATATAGTACCATATAGTAACACATACCATAGTACACTTTCATCTGATACAAGCTGATGAGGATTTAGGCTCAGATTCCTGTTTGTGCGCTCTTCTGATCTAGACGGGCGCCCGTCCTCTTGAAGGCCCAATAGCTCTAAAGGTGGCTGCCGTTGATTTAAGCACCCTGTCCCCCAAACCAAACCAAGAAGTTTGGGGATCTTGATGACCTTGTCGACCCAACCCCTAATCCTTTAAACCCTGAATCCGATTTCCGAATCAATCGCCTCATCCATGAGCACAGCGCCCTGGCGGAAAAGTGCAAGTGCCTGAGAACAGATAGGGCTCATAAGAGCTGTCAGCGTTTTGGGCTTCGCGCCGCAAGCTATCGTGACGCTCCTGGTACTCGGTCCGACACAGGAACCTCATAAGTGGCCAGGAGAGCCTGAAATTTCTGAAACCTGGCGCCTAGCAAACGAATCCAAAAAGAAACCTGCATGGATGTAAGAAGGGTTCTTAGTAGTTACTATATACTTACTCGTCAGCAGGGTATAATATAAGCCCCAAATCTTAAGCGCCGAAATTGGCCCTGGCCGCGCAGTGCCGTCGAGGGCCTTCGAAAGCTGCCGCACCTGAGACCGCGTCTCTGTAACGCTGGTGTCGGCCTCCTGCGTCCAAACATCACAGAAGATGAAGCTGAGGAGTCCCTTCCTTCATAGGAGTCCCTTCCTTCATAGGAGTCCCTTCCTTCATAGGAGTGCCTTCCTTCATAGGAGTCCCTTCCTTCATGATGTGGATCCCACGCATTATGTACTTTTCCTCTGGGATGCTAAGAAGAAGGATCCAAGCCACCACCTGTTCAATTTTGAGGGTTCTCTCAGGGCGAAAGGGCTTCAGGGCTCTGCAGCTTTTGAGAAGTACTTGGCAAATCACCTGTGCCGAGCCGCTTAGGTCAATTAGACGACGACGATGCTTCGATGCCCCCTCTAGAGCACGGCCTTTACAGGTTCGCAGGTCTGCGATTCGGTCCTTGCCCTTCGTCTGGAGCTTCATCATGAGCTCCTGAGCAAAGCAGATGCTGAAACAAGCGGCCGATTGGCCAAACAGTGCTGCAGTTTCGTTTTCTGGTATTCGCACAATGCCATGATCCCAGTCATTCCCATCTATGCAAATAGTTGAACGTCTGATGCGTCCATTATGTGGTTTCCTCTGGACGTCCGAAACCAACCTTTGACTTGCTGACCAAGTCACAATCATGCGCAGCATCAGAGACTTCACTGATGTTGGCACCGTTACAACTGCGGCGCCCGAAGTCTTTGCCTGGCAGAAGTGGGTCCATCTGAGACATTTACTTGGCATCCTCCGTTCTTTCAAACTCTTGCAGAAATCCTGCGGACGACACGGTGACGACTGTGGAACAAAAAAAATAAGAAGATGATGACTGTAACAGCGGAGAATGGTAATACCAATGCGGTGATAACGAAGATGATTGCGAAAATCGTGTAGATGACGCAGGCCGTGACCGGTACCGGTACGGGTGGGGTGTGGTGGTGGGAGTGGGGTGGGGGTGGTGCTGGTGGTGCTGGTGCTGGTGCTGGTGGTGGTCGTCGTCGTGGTCGTGGTGGTGGCAGTAGTAGTGGCAGGACACTAGTCCTACCTCACTCGAGCGAGGAATGGCTCAACTGGCACCAGAAAATCGCAAAATCCCCAGAGCCCCAATGTTTTCTAGCCAATTACGGCTTCGAGTCTGGAAGACCCCAAACCCACACTCCCTCTGTGCCTTCTCCAGCTTCCGCAGCAGATGTGGGTCAAAGGAGGAGGATCTCTCGCACTCGAAAGTACCCACCTCTCAATATGCTTCCCATTGTAAGAGGTAGGAATCAGGGCTTCGAACATGGCGTTATGGGTCGAAAGCTCTAATCTAAGGTGAGACATGACCCTACGGGGGCAGTATGATTGGGGTTTCGGGTCGCTCAGAAGTGAGAGTGCAGGGTGTGTCCAATAACAGAAGCTCAGGAGTTGGACCTCTCGACCATTAGCCCTCGGAGCCCACATTTCCTCCATTCCATGGCCTTTTTGGTCAGGACGGAAGCGAAGGTGGCTCGCAGGACACGGCGAGACATGTCCAACCTCGAAGAAGATAGCAAACCGCCCCCGTCTCAAAACTCGAAAGCGGTCGCTTCAAGAATGGGACAGGGAAGTATCCCGTGGAAAGGCTACATTCTTGAAATCTGGATCTACCCAGATGCGCGCCTTGAAAGTCTCTGAGCTTAGCAGCAGTCTACTTCCCTCAAAGTTGCACATCGATGCCAAGTCAGGGGCGTCGTCCTTCACTGGTCTGAGGCTCCCAGCAGGGCACCAGGAACAACGAGGACAACGAGCTGCTTCCCATCGGCAAGCATGAGCACCAGCAAAGGGCAGACCTCGCAGGAGCGCCAAATGACCTTTTTCCTACCTTTGGTTAATGTTGAATGGAGGCATGGGGTGCAATTATATCTACTATTACTCCCATTCTTCCATTCCCTACTAACCAAAGGTAAGTTTTACCTGGCATTATAAGCTTTGCTGCACAATCTCATCTACAGCATACGTTATGAAGCTACCCGAGCCGGGACCCGAGCCTTCATTGCATTCGAGTGTGGACCACACGACATCATCAGTATCGTTGTGGCTAATACCTACTAATTACCTATGCGGTTGTGATTATGGATGCCTTGACCGCCTCAACCTCGGATTCAAAGAGCGACTTTCCAAGGTTCTCAGGGCGTGGCAACGGTGGTCTTGCCCTGGCATTGCACAGCACGACGTGGCGCAGCGGACACGAAATCAAGAGACAGTGCCGGGCCTATGCAACTGGGATACAGTGTGGGGGCTACAGATACATCACCAACCATACAAGCACACCGACGAGATGTTGAGGCTCCTAAAGCATGAATTCTACACCTTCAGCCCTCAGCCTGCCCCATAATCATCTGCTTCACCATGGCGCTGCAACCGCCAGCATCCTGCAGGCAGCTGTCGGTCGCTCTAAACGAGAGCCACCGGTAAGATGTCTTTTTCGACAGATGCTTGCTCTACTCAGGCCCTTCAAACTTCGCTTCTTTGCACTCGGATACATCAACGAAACCAAGAGCCTACACAGTATTTCTGGTCCGCTGACGTGAGTTCTTGATTGTTTTGCTTCACGCGAGCTGCATTCACACATGAACTTTGTGCTTCCTCATGAGTCCAAATGAAACACAACCACACACCGAAATCTTGCTTAAGAATCTCTTGACCTTATTACGTTGAGTCCGCTTTGCCTTTGCCAATAAGCACTTGCGCTCTAAAGAGGCCGCTGCGCAAACACAAAACTGCACATCACCACTCAGCTTAGAGCTGGAAGAGTGATTTCGGAACCGCACTAGAAGTAGAGCCTTGAATCTTGAACTGATGAGATTCTGTGGATTTGTTGTGGCCAGTTTTGGTCTTGAGGACTCAAACTCTCCGAACCGAAAGCACGAAGCGTCGGAGCCTTCTTAGCAGTTTCCAGGCTTGTCACGAAATCCCTGACGAGGTCCACCTGATCGATGCAGTTCAATGCACGTGCGAGGTTGCCTAAGTGGTGCTAGAACTGGTAGAAAGTCTCATTCAGTGGATCCTCCTCGTACTGGCTAGCCCGAGGGCAAGGAGGGCACAGCATAGCGCTAAATGCGGCAGCGGTCAGTGCTGTGCCCAGACATCACAGTAGGATTGCAGTGGGAAGGTGTCATCAGCATGCACAAATTGCGGCATCCCATGCAGTGCACCTGGTTGTCCCTGAGGAGCATATTTCGAGTAAACTCGAACCTCAGCGCTTCACATCACCGGCTCGAAACACCAGTAAAAACAACGAGACATAGCAATAGTGACTGTAATGAGAATAACGGGAACAAACATAAGAAAACAACTATTGCAATTGTAACCAGTATAATGCTAAGGAGCAATGATACCGATGATGCTGCCCATGCCCATGCTACAGTGCAGACCTTGAGCTGGACTTCCGGCTCGTGTTCGCTTCACGATCGTTTCCACGTGAAGGAGAAGACAAACAAACCCAGTTTAGAGTTCATGCTTCATTGTTGGATTTACAGAACAGATGCCAATGCATCAGCGTAGAGCACTTGATGCATTAAGTGTCCTGCTTGGCAGAAATGCGGTGGCCACAGAAATGCTGCCACGGGGCGCCAGGAAGCGCGGATCGTAGTCACCTTCCAAGTCGCTTGGCGCATAAGCACGCCGTGACCGCCTTGGCGGAGAGGAGAACAAGCTGCAATGCATGTACTTCGACATGTTACATTATGCAACCCGTGCTTACATGTAACCTGGGCTTCTTGAACTATTGCAACAGCTTCCGCAAGCATCTTCGGGTTCCTAAACCCTAAACCCTCCACTGGGCAGCAGGCAGCGTGCCGGAGAGAGCCGAGCAGGCCTGGCCGGGAGGGTATGGGGATGAGGAGATAAGGCCCTCTCCGAAGCCCTCAGCAACTATATCTACCTGTCTATATGTACAAATGCGTATGTGTACACATACATGTATACACACGCATATGTGTATGTGTATACGCCCCTCCTTATGAATACAGTTGTGCGCATAGGAAAAACCCAATCTCCATGATGTACCCAGACAAGCAACTGAGATCATGCTGAACTCACTTCATGTGTATCGCTTCCACATGTCTCTCACAGGGGCTCAAGTCGGAAACAACTGCTCTGTAAAGGGCGACTAGTGACACACTCACTGATAGCATTGAGAAGTTCTTCATAATTTCCACAACAGGCGGTAATAACACAACTAGCCAAGTGATAATAAGGCAAAGCTGGCATCGCATAGTATCAGTGGTCGTTGTAGGTACGAAAACCTTGCGACAAACAACAATAGGAACAAATCGAGCGCTGAGAACTAAAGCCGTAGGCCTTCAGCCCACTGCTAGAAGACTACTGGCAATACAGTACAAGGATAGCGGTAGCAGCAAAACTGTACTCACGATGGTCATCTGCGTCATCATCTTCGTCACCATGACGAATACCATCAGCATCATCATCATCTTCTTCTTCATCATAATCAACATCGTCATCATTAACACCATCACTGTCACATTCACAATCATCATCGTGATCCTCATCGTGATCATCACATCATCATCATCACCTCGATTATGGCCATGCTCGCCATCATGGTCATTATCATGTTCAGCTGAATCATCCCTCGATATGCTAGTTGCAGCAACAAACCTCGCAGAAGTACAACTTAATCCACTCTTGGGCGAGTCCAGAATCACACAAAGAGATGGTCAGCATCTAGAGGAAGTCTTTTCAGCATGATCCTGCATTCGATACGTGGCACACGCATCGACTCCAAACTATGCAGGCCGGCTTGCCGAGTCATGCCACTGACAAGCATCTAAATCCGTATGTAGTCTGCCACGGCCCCAGCGCTGGCCTGAGCCAGCAAGAGCTTCCTGTCTGCCAGGGGTGTGCCAGATTCCAGCAGCTGCACCTGCTATCAGTCTTGGTGTCCCCACGTCTTCAGCTGAAACCCGAGCTCAGGTTCAGCCTCAGGACATGAAGAGCCATCACTCTCATCCTGTTTGGGAACCTCCGAAGACTTGTGTTGGAATCGTGGGGACATGTTACGATAGTCACCGTGACTACCGTACTTTTTATATTGAGGTACTCCTGTGGGTGATGGTCGGGAACAAATGTCCTGAATCCGACTTGGACTTCGGGTTGCAGGGCTGAGGGCTTTCGGGTGTAAGAGTCGGCCCTTCCCACAAGAGACTTCGGAAGGTATTTATTCATTTAACTTATTCTTCTTGGCTTTGAGGCCGAACAACATTTCTGCCCCTGGAATCGCCCCTCGATGCAACAAGATCATCTCTGCAGCGAAGCGCTCCGCACCTCCATCCGGACGCGATTAAGCTCCTGTTCACCACTCGCCCTAGCTTGTCTTGGTGAGTCAGGCTTTTGTAAACACTTGCCCCCGTCGTGACAACGTATCTGCTGCACATGCAGGCTTTTGCCTAGCAGACTTAAGTTCACAGCTGCTTCTTCTGACCTGCTGGACAAATTACTTGGCTCTTGCGATCTTGCGATCTTCTCGAAAACTGGCCATACTTGGGTGCTCTCATTCGCTTTGGATCTAAGCAAACTTTCTGCAAGCACTGTGAAACTAGCCCAAGGTAGTACGCTCGGTCCGCCAGCGAGTCCTCCAAGGCGCGGCTCAGCAAACCCAAGCGATTGGAGCGTAGCCTCGGAAAGCGCTCAAAAAAGTATTGTTACAATTATTATTGCTACTATTGCTGTTATACTCATTCTTATTCCTATTATTTGTTATTGTTATTTGTCTTTCTGTTGCTACTATCACTATCATCTGTGTTTAGACTTCTGTAAGGGGTGCACAGCGTTGCTTTTTGATGAGGGTTGTCACATGGAACAACGAGGATCATGCAGACACCTGATTAACAATCACAAGGGCTGAGGTACGATGTTGTAAGAGTTGAATATCGCGACATAAATAACTTGACGAGGGTTTTCGTGTTACTGTACTATAATATAAATAGGAACGAAGGGTAAGTGGTTAGACTAGGGATTGGGGAGTAGGCTGTAACCGTACATCTAGAGAACTGTAAGGCATCTTAGGAATGCTTATTCGGGCTTCTTCATTGAATAGGAAGGTTTAAGAGTACAGGATATCAGATCGCGGAGTTGTACGGTCTTAGGGATTAGAACTCAGGACCTTATAGCTTTAGAATTGAGGGGCATGGGGTCTTGGATGTATTACGCAACGTAAAATGCCTCAATTCGCCGTCTTTACGTAGGCGTCCTATTGCAGTATGTCATTATGTAGAGTCGTATGTCGGAGATCAGGGTCTTGCATGCTGTATACAGTATACAGCGAATTAACTGACTTCTATGCTACCGATGCTTGACACCCACTCATACACACAGCGCGCTTTATTCCGTGGTGTTGTGCTAGACGGGATGCTGTTTGCGCAGGGTGCAATATATCTATATATATATATGTGTATATTTAGTGTATATGCATATCATATCTCTATATGGAAAACTCGAAGCTAGCAACGCCCCTGTGCATGCAATGGCCGCGGGCCCAGCATGGTAAGAGCTGCAAGGTCCGAGAGCAGCTGGAGCTCCTTCTAGTGAATAGCAGAAAGTGGCGTTTAGGGTTTACGGTTTCCGATTTTTATAGTTAAGGTTCAAGGTTTTTCTAGTTGTGTTATATAGTACTATGTAGTACCAGTATTCACATTCAGCTGTTGAGACGACAATCGTTTGCAGAAGAGCTACGTGACTGTGTACACACGCACTGTGCATTTCTATAGCAAACCAACACATTACCCAGTTTATACATACAACACGACATATGTATACACACACACATGTGCATGGGTGTAGTTTGAACATCTATTCCAATGCTGCTGGTGGTTTGGGTGAACACGCTGCAACTACTCGCTTGCATGATGCACGGTATTGTCTCGACCCGTTCCGTTATGACTTGTCCTTTCGGTGTCAAGTCGTGCTCCTCACATCTTGGTATTTGGATGAGCTATTGAAATCTCATCAATCCTAAGGACTTAGCCCGCCAGAACCGAAGAAATCTACAGAGTTCCAACGGTTGTGTCTAGGTGGTCTGGCTTTTCGTGCAAAGGATTCGGCAACAGGCCTGGCATGAGTACACATGCCAGCAGATTCAGGAACGTTTCGTAATAGCTAGTGCATGTGTGGGTGTGTATATGTACTGTCTGCGGTCACCTTGACTTTTTGCCGAACGGTCCTGTATCGGGAACTTCGGCATGCGACTTGCGCCGCTTCGAACATCGTTTGGGAGTTTCCGAAAATAGGGGACCCTCATATAGTGCCCTAAATTAGTAGGATCCTTATTATAAGGACCCCAAAGATAAGGTACCCCTAATTTTCGGAAACTCCCAAATGTCCCCCAGAGACAAGGGCCGACCACAAGCGGACTTATTCCTTGGGGCCCACTAATGCCTACCTGGACCCCAAAAGTAGATAGAATGATAGCCCTTATAGGGTTTTGTGCCATGATTTAACTTACTCTTGGGGGTTTAGGTACTCGTCAAGTATCATGGGGAACTAAAGGTTAACTTTTCTGGTTATATACGAATTATATAGGGACTATAGCTACCCAAAAAAGGTTAAAGGTTACCTACTCTACTACTAGGAATATCTAGGTAACCAATGTACCTCGTGACATAGAACAAGCGCACCCTGCCAAGAAAGATGTTATAGATTAGAGTTAATTGCTTGGAAAGACTCGCTTGGCCCGAACATTTTGTTCTCAATTCCTTTGCTGTCGCGACTTTTGTGGCAATGTCCAAAAGGAGGGTGCCAAACAACACTTCTCCTCGGCGCTATCAGCCATCATGATCACCGCATGTATGTAACCTTTCTAGGTCTGTGTGTATATACACACATACTGAACAATGTCCCAACTAAATATAGCCGCTATTGCCCCGTACATGCTGTGATTCCCCAAAGCACGACTCCAAATACTCATACCATCTCATACCCCTATCATTTGCAGACTTCTGCAAGCGACACCGAAACCAAGATGCAAAGGGCTTGCACTTCACAGGCTGCGCCCAACCGCTCCAACCGCCATAGAATACTATACGCGTCTTTCTTGACTCTATGTAAGCACTACTTTGTCGGTACTATCAGAGTCTTGCTGCGTATTCTAAGGGCACTGTAACTGTACCACAAACGTTCCGTAAGTCGGCTTCTGTCTGTCCTGCTCGGACAGGAAAGGGTTCACAGTCTTCCAATCCTTGCCAGGGCAAGAGCAACAGGAGGAAGAACTTCGAACTACCACAACCCACGCGGATTAGGGCTTGAGGTTACGGTTTAGGGGTGTTTAGGGTTTAGATTGGGGCTTTGGGTTTAGGGTTGCGAAGCCACCGGTACTGTACAGCGAGCTAGTACTGTCTCTTCCCTTGGCAGCGTCCTCCAGCTGATTGCCGGACAGCAAGCTGCCGAAGAGAAACTCGAACCAAACCTGGCAAACGTTGAAACAAGGCCCCCCTCACACACACCCTCAAAACAGAGATGCCGAACCAGCAGCTTTGTACACTTTCACTCTGGTCTGAATGCCGGTCTGCGCACAGAATCAGAGTGTAGCTGAAACCTACCTTGGGTAGTTCAGCTTGGACTGCGTGGTGCTGTCTCCAGCGAGCAATGACCCAGGCTGGCTGTTCCTCTCCTGCATTGGGAAGCTGAAGGGAAAGCTCCTGGAGAAAAGGCTCTACAGCGATCTGCTGAGCAGACCTCGATGCAGAGCCGAGAGTGTTTGCCTGGCTCCACCTGACAATTCAGATTCTTCGGAAAAAGACTACAAAACTAAACGACACACTTCCCCCAAACAGGGAAGCAGCAGATCGTCCAGCGCAAACGCGGACCAAGAAATCAAAGGTTCAGCTCTCCGGCGGAAGGCTTTTCCTGCACGGTTTCGGCCACCTCCTCTTCTTCCATCTCGAAGGGAAGCAGCAAATGCAGGAACAGAGCCAGCAGCGTGCCGATGCAGTAGGGCGTCTTCAGGATGATGATGAGGGAGTCGCGCCACATCTTCTTGCTGTCATCGTACTGCACACAGCAGTTCCCGTTGTTTCCGATGCAGGTAGTCACGGTGCGAGTGGCCATGACAGGGGCCGTGTAAGTGCCACCCATGCCAGTGCAGTCGATCTGACCTTTGCTCTTGGCAGGATGCAAACCAAGCGGTTGCAAGCCCAGCTCTGAAAGCTTTCTTCTAAGACCATTCACCTTCATTCCTTTCTTTTCTCCCTCCCTCTCCCTCCCTTCCTCCCTCCGCCTGGATTCTCTCCTGCTCTGGCTCAGATGCTTGAACTCGGGTTAACTCTCACTCCCTCGATCGCTCTGGCTCTCCGTCAGTTCTCGCGGTTGTGCACATGAGGGAATAGCTCCTACGACCCTTGAAGTTGCGTGGATCAAGACGAGTCGCTCATCGAGCTGGCAGTGTAGGCACCCTTAGTGCATTGGGACGCCTGGGATTCGTACTCCTCGGTCGGGAAGACCTTGCACACATCCTGCCAAAAAGCACGCGGAAGGATCTCAGCGTCTCTCGTACTCTTGCATGATCACGAATCTTAAGCCATGAAGCCCTTCAGAGTCAGAGACGTCCTTGGCCGGCCACAGTCCGATGTTGTGCTTCAGGTTGCCGCCGTGGAAGCCGGCGAGGCCACCACCTTCGGCCTTGTAGACTCACACCCACTCTTTGCTTTACGCCCCTTGCTTCTAGGCATGTATCACAAGCGAAGGACTACAACGGCACTACAAGTAACACACATTGTGAAGAAACACGACGATTGCGTTGCGATCTCAGGAGCAGCTCTGGCTACGGCTCGAAACAATAACAACAGTGATGATGGTATGAACGGCAACAGACGTAACAAGCCGACTGCACATGCGATCAGTGATCCTGAAAGTAGTGCAAACACCAACACAAGCATCTGCCTCGGCCAAACCATTCAGTTCTCTATATTAGTGATTGGGAAACCTGTTTCGCCCATTTCTACTACGAGCATTGTTCGCTCTTTCACATGAACGCTCAACCTGTTGGCAGCTACTTGGGTTTCAGATTACTCTGCAACGCCATGCAATGGCCGCAATCACGACAAGCCACATCGTAAGGAGCTTCCTTTCTCGCTGCGGCTGCGAGATTTTTTTGAATCCGTATCGAGCTTGTTCTGCTTTTGCTCTTAGTCGTTACTGAAGATGTGCGTCGGTGGGAACACTGAGCAAAATCCACCTTTCAAGCGAACCTCGAATGACTGTGATGCTCAGGTAAGTCGCCCAGTTCGGCAGGGCTGACACCCCGACACCAACCTTGGCAAAGTGCAGATCAGATGATGCAGTAGGGCTATCAATCTTAGAAGGTGTGTGTGTGTGTGTAGGTATAGAGGTTTACATATATATATATATATATATATGTATGTATATATATATATATATATATATATTCTCTGTTTATATATATATATATATGTATATACATCTTACATGATGTATAATTATGTGTGTATATATCTACTATACATCTTATATAGAGTGGACGCCGGGTTTTGCGATCCGGCCACGTCCTGCATGACGGCATATCAAGTTCAGTCCTCCTTTCAAACATTTTGACGGAGGTTCATCCGAAAGATAGCCTCTGACCGTGTCGATTGCTCGTTGTTTCAGTTTCATTGCCGACCGATGGTTCGAGTTCTCCGATGACTCCCATATATCCGCCGACCCCTGCGGGCGGCGCCCGTGATATCCCGAGAGGTGTCCGCACCCACACCGCTTCCACCGCCTCCACCACTCTGTTCAAAGAGTCTTTCACCGCTGTATTTGTAGGTGTTTAAAGAGTATGTAAAGGCTGCCAATGTGTGCCCGGCGCCCACACCGCCCCCACCGCCCCCACCGCCCACACCGCCCACACCGCCCCCACCGCCCACACCGCCCTCACCGCCCTCACCACCCCCACCACCTTCATCCCCCTCCACCGCTTTCACCGTTCCCACCGTCTCCACCGCTCTCACCGTCCGCTGTATTTGTAGGTGTTTAAAAAGTAAAGAGTATTTAAAGGCTGCCAATGTGTGCCCGGACCCCCCCGCGCCCACACCGCCCCCACCGCCCACACCGCCCCCACCGCACCGCCCCCCCCGCCCCCACCGCCCACACCGCCCACCACCCCCACCACCTTCATCCCCCACCGCTTTGTTTCCACCGTCTCCACCGCTCTCACCGCCCGCTGTATTTGTAGGTGTTTCAAGAGTAAAGAGTATTTAAAGGCTGCCACTTTGATGGGCTGTGGGTTAGCTAAGGAGTTAGGTGAGTTAAGATGATTAGAAATGGCAGTTATAAAAATTAGCTAACTAGTTAAGTAGTACCACAGAAGTAGTGTATAACATAAGATTTTCCGTGACATGTGCATGCTTTCATGTGTGCTTTTGAACGACAAAAACAGGATTTACGAGATGAAAATTTTCCCGTGGCCAGTGGCCGATGACATGGGAATGGCTCTGTGCTTTTGGATTTTAAGGTTGTTGTTTAAAAAAGGCGGGCAATATGAAATTTTGAATCCTTCATTTCCTGGCTAAACATCATGTGGAAAAGCAACTTCAACTCATGCAGAAAGAAGCACCATGGTGCTGAGCAAGGAAGATAAAGACATGCCATGTGAAACTCTGAAAATATTCCATGTTGTTTTTAAGCAGCTTTTGTTTGTCTTGCAGCTGCTATTTCATGGCATGTTTGCATGACCATGTTTGTCATGTGCATATAGCATGATCCAAAGGAGCATGCTTGGACTCATCATGTAAGCAGCTTTTCTTTGTCTTGCAGCTGCTATTTCATGGCATGTCTGCATGACCATGCTTGTCATGTGCATGTAGCATGACCCGGAGGTGCATGCTGAGAGAGAAGATCCATGTTTTTTTTTTCGCTGTCGTGAAACGGAGAGCCAGGCCCTCGAAGAAGTTTGTCAGCTACGGAGGTGCAAAGGGATTAAAGTGCGGACACAATTCGTGTCTCTCAAATAAACCACCGCTGTCAGGATGTCTTTGCTCTCGATAATCACAGGCTGCTCCATCTCGGTCCACACTGCACAGTGCTTGTCCTTGTTGTACTCCTGCAAGCTCCAAAGGGAGACCACGGACCACAATGTGCCTTGCACGGAAACATGGCAAAAAACTTCGGCACAATCCCAAGGAGGGTCCCGCCCTTTGTCTGCCTGCAGCAAACACACGTCTGCCTTGCTTGCCAACCCACCACCAGGAAGCCGTAGGATCGTTGCGATCTTCATCTCATCTTTGGAGACTTGTGGGAAGCTCTGGAGCACCAGATCCCTCAGCTTGGGGGGGGGCTTCTGCCGTGGGTTTTCCAGAGCGAGGGCGACCGGAAACTCGGGCAGCTTCTCCAAGTGCCACAGCTCATGGGCAAGCACTTCCTCGTAGAGGGATCGCTCGAAGGTGCTGGTGTTCTGGATGGATGCTGCATATCTGGTGATTGTCCTGTGCTTCCGCTCCATGCTGAATGTAGCAGGCAGCCTCTTGTGCTTTTCATAGTGGTCACCCATATGCAGCAACCAGTGCATCTTGCGGGTTACGTGCTCCCCCCAGCCCGTTTCGAACCAAGAGCTCATGCACTTGTCGGCGGCCTCTCGCAACATGGATGGAATCACACAACCATGCCCATGACAGGCGGCCTGCAATAGTTCCACCATAAGGCACATCTGCAAAAAAGCTTCGCACTCGGATGGTAGGAAGCCTTTGTCAAGGATGCAGGTTCGGACGAAAAAGGCGAGGACCGGCAGCAAACTGAGCATTTCGGAAGCTGTCGTTTTGAACTTCCCCGCTTCTCTACAGGATTTCATCCGCTTGTTCTCGAAGACTTGCTTCAGCTTGACGTGTGCGAAGGAAGCCGGCTGTGTCCACAGATCCACGTATTTCTCCAGAGTGGCAAAAACATCCTTGAAGCCATGGTCCTTCGTGGCACTGAGAAGTAACCAGGTCGCATCATTCAATGTTCCATTACTCAAGCAGCAATGCATCCAATCGTGCACGAACATTGTTGCTGGTTTGACCACCCTCCTCAGCAGAGGCTCCGAAAAAATGCTTTCTGTGTTGAAGGTCCACCCAGTGGCTTGCTGCCACATGCCAAAGTCTTTGGCTGAACACCGGCCCTTCAGGTCGGCGAGCCTCGACCAAGAATCCCAAATATCGTCATCCGAAACCAAATGCAAGGCAGCATGTGCATGCTTGGGGATCTTCTCTTCGTTGCGATTGTCGGCTCGCTGATTGCCACACAACAAACAATACTTCGAACCCGAGTCACCTTTCACACTCCAAGCGAATTTGTGAGCTGCCCCGTCTTGTATTACCATGCTTGGCTCGAATGACAAATGAAACCCGCCCTTCGGCCCCTGCATCCAAACACCTGCCGCCGGGTCATGCTTAGAGTGCAAGAAGATACTGCGAAAGATGATTTTGAAGATCTGGCTGATGCTTCCCTCCAGCGAGGCCACAAAAGAGCTCCTGAGCAGTGCGATGGTGAGCCAGGCCTCTTCCATCGCAAGCACTTGAGCAGGGAAGTCTAGGCATGAGAGATAGATGCACCAGCTCTTCCTCGAGGTTCGGGCTGCAAGGACATTGCCTGGGATTACCTCGTCTGAGTAGATCGCGAATCGGAGTGCTCTTCCGCCGGCTTTCTCTGCACAGCTCCGAAGCAAATCGTAGAAAGCACCACCGGCACGGCAAATCCCATCCAGCAAGCTGAAAACATTCACCAGCCAAAAAGCCACCGTGCCACCAGACACTGTCTTGGCTTCCTGCTTCTCCAAGAGAGGCCCGTAAGCTTCTTTCTTGCCCAAGTACGACCTTGTCGCTTCTCTCATCTGCTTCGGGTCTGTCATCTCTGGCATGCCATGATCATGAATATCCTGCAAGAGGCCATGCAGAGCACTCTTACTACAGTAAGGTGCTGCTCTTCTCAAAGAGTTCAACCGTTGCAGCTTCTGTGGCCGGTCGTCTGTCTTCGAAGAAGAGGAAGACATTATTGCTCAGGTAGAATCAATCGAATTTGGATGCAAGCAGACTATATGCAGAATGCATCTGCACATCTATAGATGCATGCAAAACTCAGCTACATCAACATAAAACTACAAAGTAACAAAAAAATAAACATTTTCCAACCCTGCAACTTCAAACCCCAATATAGATGTAGCTGTATACACACCTATACACACCGCCAGAATGTACATCGGAAGGAACTGTCGACGAGAAAATTCTGCGACCCGTATGGGTGCCAACTGCAAGACTTGGCTATTGAGCCTTACACAGTCCATGCATATGCTTGGAGCTTCAACTCAACACCGGGTTTTGCACAAAACCCGGGAACCGCCAAACACAATGACGGTTGCATGTCTGTCTATATAGAGCAAAACATATAACAAAGCATCCAGGCCACACAGTGGACTGGGAAGGTAGCTCCAAATGTGAAAACACAAGGAGCTGTGGGCCCTAAGCGCCATTTCCAAAGCAATCTTGAAGAAGCACAAGGAAAGCAAAGCAAGGAACAGTTCATGTAGAACCCAGGCCGAATCAGCATGGCATGCCTGCATAAGCCCTGTCATGCAGAGCTGCATGGAGCTATCTGGCCATGCAAACATGAAGCCCGGCTGGGCTGCAATGATTTTTTGTTCTGCTGCTCGCTTGCCCGCTTCGAATGAAGCAGGATGCCATGGAACACGGTTGCAGTGATTAATGCACCGGGCAGCTTTTGCTGTACGAAGCAGCTTTTGCTGCAGTGCGAAGCTATATATAGCTACCCACCCATTGAAAACACCAAGGCTAACTCAGTCACTTCTTGCTCTTGGACTTCTTGTTGCAGGCTTTGCCCTTTGCGAGGGCAAGCTGCCGTTTGGCATACCACTCCTTCCATTCCTCCCTGGTCAGGCGGAGTCCATTGAACCCCGGATCCTGACACTGCGAACATCCTGTTCGACAGCCACGGCAGCGAATGCAACCAAGTTTTAGCGGGACTGCACTGGCTTTCCCAACCGGCTTGGCTGCACTGGCTTTGGCCGAAGGCCTCTTCATGACTGCTTTGCCCTGATCTGGAGCTCCTCGCTTCTTATTTTCTCCCTGCTTGCTTTGGGCCTGCAAAGCCTTGAAAGCCTCTTGCTCGATCGCCTCGAGCTTGCTGCTGCTTGCAGGTGTTGTCACAGGGGTTTCCTTCACATGCTCTTGGGTCTGGGGCTGCTCTGGGGGATCAACCTTTTCCTCCACAGGCACTACCTGAGTCAGGAGAGGGGGGGGAGCCACCGAGGAAGGAGTCTGCAGCATGGAATCTCTGGTGCATTGCTGGGCTGGCACTCGCGGGGACGAGGAGGGCTGGGCGGCATGCTGGGGCGAGGCAATGTTCTGCAAAGCCTGCAAACTGCTTGAAGCAGCGAGGCTGGGGGGGACATGGCCCGTGCTTTGCATGTTTGTGCTTGCTTGCCCAGATTGCATACCCAATGCTGTGGAGCATGGCTCCTGCAAAGCTACCAAGCTGCCGTTCTTTGGCAGCTGCAATGCATTGAAGGTGTTCATGCCCGTGCTGCCGACCGTCTGCTGCAAGAACTTATGCATCAGGACTTGCATTTGTGCGGCATCCTCGCAAGCAGCATTCTTGCCCTTAGTCTTATTCTTCTTCTCTTGATTCCACGACAACAAACTCGACGTGCTTCGCACCGGTGTCTCATGAGTCACCCGGGCTACAAGACCTGGGAGGTCTCTCGGCTCCGGTGGGTCCTCAGGGTCATAAGCATCCTTTACGAAGCCCGGTCCGAGCTCTGATGGATGCAAAGGATATATTGTGACCCCTGTTGCTTTTCGTTGCACCTGCACACTGAGGAAGACTTTGTGCAATTGCTCTGCGAGTCTGTAGATGTCGTCGTAGGAAGGAGCAATGCCAAGCCTCTCAATCTGACAAGTGACGATGATGGCGGTGGCATACTTTTTCGTCTCTTCTTTGAGACTGGTAAGGCCGAGCCTCCTGAGCCGCTCGGTCACCACCACTGTAGCATCCCAGCTGCTCGAAGTAGACAACTTCACCCAATCTGACTTGGACAAGTAGTTGCTGATTTGCACGAGGGTCTGGGGTTTGCTAGTGAGTCGAACCTGGGACTGACCAGCTAGTGTCGGGCCTGCAGCATCATCCAAAGCTTTGAGCAACCCGTCTTTGCTGTTGCCGGACAAGCTAGATTGGGTCACTGCTTCCATCATTTTGCACAGCTGCTCCGCCGTCCATCCCGGGTGATGGGCCATGCGATCTTGCAGTGCCTCCACGAGCTTAGCCTCCATGTCGGTGCCGGGCCTCATGCTCACCAGCCTCTGGATGGAGTTTAGCTCCTGCACGAAGTCATCGGCCGTCCAACGAGCCATGGTCTCTCAGACCAAGCAAAGGACCACAAGTGAAACAGAGGTCGCCTAAACCAAGAATGGCGACAAGTGTTCATGCTAGCATTCTTCGTAAAAGTACAATTATAAGTCTTGTACTTATAGTACTACTACGACCACGACGATAAAGGAGGACTAGTATACGACTGACTAGCAGGAATACTATACTACTACTACTACTGATACCACTACTACTACTACTACTACTACCACCACCACCATTACTGCTTGTGCGACTGCTGCGACTATACTACTATCGACATGACTAGTACTATTGCTGTTAGCTCCTACTTGTACTAATACTATAGTATTAGTAGGAGTACTGCGAGTACTCGACAGTAGTACTGCTATACTCCTCTACTACTACTACTACTACTACTACTACTAGTAGTATAGTACTATTACTACTACTATACTACTATTACTACTACTACTATACTACTACTACTACTACTACTACTACTACTACTACTACTACTACTACTACTACTACTACTACTATTACTACTACTACTACTACTACTACTACTACTACTACTACTACTACTACTACTACTACTACTACTACTACTACTACTACTAAGACTATAGTGCTAGTACTAGTACTACTACTACGACTGCTAGGACTACCACTGCGACGAGGACTATTACTAGTACTACTACTACTAGTACTACTACTACTACTACTACTACTACTACTACTACTACTACTACTACGACTACGACTAGTACTACGACTGGTACTACGACTACTACTACTACTACTGCTACTACTACACTCACTTTTCCATTCATTCGTATGAAGTAACGATGCATAGGAACCCCCCAACTACATCACCTATAGTGCTCCTGGTTCTGGATTCATTATAAGGACAAGGCAAGCACTAGAAGCAGTACTGCACGGCAAGTTCTCAAAAGCACAGTTGGCTGTGCTGCATGACAAGCACTGCAAGCAGTGCTGCACGGTTGCACGTTTCAAGAAGCACCGGAAGGGTGCTGCATGGCATGTGTTGAAAGGCACAGTTGTCTGTGCTGCATGGCAAGCACTGCAAGCAGTGCTGCATGGTTGTATGTTTTAAGAAGCACCTCAAGGGTGCATCACAGCATGTGTTCAAAAGCAGAGTTTGCTGTTTTGTATGACAAGCACTGCAAGCAGTGCTGCATGGTGTGACAAACAAGATGCAACCCTTGCTGCTGGGAAGGCTTCGGGCTGCAAAGAAAGGTATATGGTGTCCCTAGGAGCACTAGTGGTTGCTCGTGCTTGGGAAGCTACACGGCTCTAGGCGGTGGCGGCTACGGCTTCGGGGGTTGGCTTCGGGGTTGGCTTCGGTGGGCTGTGGGCTCGGGGCTGGGTAGGCTTCGGGCTGAGCCTGAGGGCTCCGTGCTTTGCTAGAAAAACACTATTTCTGGGCTTGGGGTTTGTTGGTGCCAGGCTTCTGCTACTGCTTCAAAGCAAGAAGGTTATCAAAGCATGGTTTGAGGCAAAGTTGCTTAAAAACAACTTGGAATACCTAGATCCTGAACAAAGTTGTTCTGGAACAACTTCCAACCAAGAATCCCAAACCCAAGATGTTCCAGAACAACTCTGACTCAGGAATCCTATATCACAGTTGCTCAAAAACAACTCTTTGTCCACGGACCCTGAACCAAGTTGTTTTTAAGCAACTTTGCTTAAAACTGCCGATCCACTCTTTTTCATACCGCCGCTGCCTGGCTGTGATCCCTCAGTAGTTATACTGAGGGTCCTGTCCATGTCTCTCCCAGTACGAGGAGTGGTCCTGGAGCCTTTTGTTAAAGGTAGGATCGCTTCTGAACTTCTCCAACAAGTAGGCACAGCGATCGTTGTCCCCGACCATGAAGGCGTTCCCCAAGGCCACACAGCGACAAAGCCAGCCGCTCTGGAGCTTCGTGGACCTCCTCGCATCCTCGAACTCCACGTTGCTGCCCTGTGCCGCAGAGCTCGAAGCCGCCTGCCTCGCCTTCTTCAAAGGAGGAGGTCTGCACACTCCGGCCTTCTGGTACTCATCCTTCTCCTCCTCGGCCTGTGCAGCTGGAGCCTTCTGCTGCATCATTCGCTCCTCCTCCTCCTCAAGCATGGCCTGCAGCTCGTCGTACTCCGCCTTGATATCCTTCGGCATCGGCGGGGGCGGTGGCAGCGAAACCCCTCCCGCTTTCGGTCGCAGCTCCTGCTTCATAGGCGGAGCCTTCCAAGGCAGCTGGGCCGGAGCAGCCACCAGCTGAGGCGGAGCAGCCACCTCCATCTCCTTCTTCACGGAAGAGTCATCTGCAGCAGTAGAAGTGGGCTCCGGCTTGACATCCTGCTGCTTCATAAGAGGGTCCTTGGCTCTAGTACACTGTCGGATGCTGTTTGGTAACGGTTTGAAGCTGCCTTGAATCCGGAACAACTGAACTTTAACTTCTGCTGAAAGAATCAAGACTCTGGTCCAACACCGGCCCAGACAAAGTCCAGCGGATCTGC